GACGAGACTCTAGCACGGAGTCCATGGCCCGGCTGTCTGTGTGGAATTGACATCAGGACTACCTTGGGATGAAACAGACATGACCTCTATGCCGCCATTGACAAAAAATTGTCAATTATTTTGTTTGTTTTTTGGATTATGGGCTAACCTGAATTTCCTGGCTCCCAGGTTTTATAGCGAGATTGCATTCTTCATCTGTCGACTGTAGTGATATCAGAGTTAACTGCTTAGCCTAAGGTCACCTATGAGTGAGAGGAGTTAAGCTCTGCTGCAGACATACGCACAAACAAGCTGTTTCGATAGAAATCCTTTCAACCATTCTGCCTGCGTCAAAAATTGTCTCCTTGATGACTTTGTAAGACACACAAGTATTCACACCGCGCCTGAAGAGGATCATTCTTAAAAACGTGCTATATTAGAGGGGCATTAACCACTTTTCATGAAGCAGAAGCACTTCAGTCCACTGCGGTATTGAACCGATTTCACCCCCGGTCTTTCTATGGTCTATAACATACAGCTATGGCAACTACACAAACCACGGACAACTGAAGATTGCAGTTTGTATTACAGAGGAATTAGCTGCAATAAGGAATGGAGGTGGAGTGGAGTCATGCTAATAAACTAATGGAGGAAAAGTGTGACACTTGCTGAGCAGGTATTTTTGTTGTTTTTATACTGGAGAGAGACTGAGGGAGAGAGAGAAAGAGAGAGATTAAAATATGGATGGCGAGAGGAGGAGAGGAAAGGAAGATATGAAAATAGATGACAGACAGATAAATTAGGCCCAATGAAAGGCAGTGGGAACCAGAATTTCTTCTAGTATCATCTAAATTCTGTTTTATCCGGTTTGAGTTCATAGTGAATGCTACTAAACCCAATAACAAACTATGGTGTGTGTCTTTGATATACTGGTAAACCAAGATCACCTCAAATAACGCACGTTAGATGATTTCAAGTTCCACACCCACACCCATACAACTTACTGCAATTTATTATAATGGCATTTCAGGAAATAAGGTCATTAAGTTATTTACTTTTTTGGAAGTATTCTAAATAAGGAAAAAATACTTTGCCCCAGTTAGTGGTTGAAACATGAGAAATCAAACAGACATTCTTGACTGGATAGTAGGCCTAAACATTTTAGGATCTTGTTCGTTTGCTATATTAGATTCGCTACATCATTTACTTAATGCGCCGTACAGGTAGCTCTTATTGTGTTTATTTTTTGGCTTTATTACATATGTTTGTGTACAGATTACATGCTCCTTGTAAGGAAATGAGAGAGAGGAAGAGAGAGAGAGAGAGAGAATAATAATAATAATAATAATAATAATAAACTTAAACTTTAATTTAAAGAGAGTTAAGTGTATACACTTAACTTACACATGGCCCTTAAAAGTGAGAGGGAGAGAGAAAAGTGTACTGGGCGAATCTTAAGTTGGGTCTCTTTTTTGACATCTTAATCTTTTATTTATATTCATAGTAGGTAATTTTTCTTTTAGGCAGGGGCGTCAGCGTTAAAACAGAGCAGGTAAAATCCCTCACATCAACCGCCTTTCCCGGAGGGGAAGAACCTTCACTTCACTTCACGAGCCCTGGAGCGCTTGCTTTCCCTTGTTTATTAATCGACTGATATTCCCAAAGAATTTAAAATTACACAGCCCTAGAGTTTCCCTATCGGCACGTGGAAGACCAACCGTTAAAGATAGACAAGTCTCTACACTGGCCTACAGTCAGTTACGTCCAATATCTTTAGGGTACTGGGCAAAAGAAAAATGTATATGACGTGCATTGTGCTTCAGGGTTGGAAGACGGTGAATATTTCAGGTGTTTTCACATTTCCATGGAGACTGGAACAATATTTTAGTCGAGTGGAGCTTGCAGCAAGGGGGACTGTGTAATTAATGCTTTGATTGTTGACAAAGGAAAACCCGTGTCTTTAGAACTGTGCTCCATTGAAGAACACTAATATTTCGTCAGTTGTTATGATGTGCTATTCGTTAAGGTTTACTGTATTGAACAATGTGTTGGAGAAGACACTTTTGTTCGCGAACAACGTGTCAATGTGTTAGCTGAGAGGAAAGCGTTACCGTATAAAAATGCAAAAGAAGGAAATTGTCTTGCTCTCCGGCATAATTCTTATGCTCCTCCTATGGATATGCAACAGTTATTTCATATCTCTCTCAATAACTTGGAAAATAAGGGAGGATCATGACACTTCTTCACAAGTGAGAGATATGATAGTTCTTCAGACCGCGCAGCGCTATAATAACCCGCTTCGCGTCATGTGGAAGACAAATACAACGTTTGGTAGGGGAGTCGTTGGTATTCAGGGTCCACGAATTCCAAGGACAACAACACCGTCTAATCTCGTTGATTCAAACTGATTTGTCCAATTAGACAGACAAGATTCTGAAGGCCCTTCAAATTCATAGCATTTTCGGAGCCAAGAATGTGCTTGGGGGGGGGGGGGCTAAGGACAATGGTTGCTACGGACAATTTCAATGCAAAATTTTAGGCACTAGGATTGAAAATGTGCTTGAATTTTTACTGGTACGCTTGTTATGCTGACTTTGGGAGGGGTAAGGGGTTATCCCAGAAGATGTGGAAGGGTGGTGATGTGGGGTGGGGTGGGGTGGGGTGGGACGGAGGTGTCTCTGTGCACCTGTCTACAGTACATGTATATTATGAATAACTTGACATATTTTACTTTTTATACATTGTGTTGATCTAAGTTGGTAACTACAGTATACAGTATGCAGAACATACATCACTATGAAAATATAACCATTGAGTGATAAATGGAATACGACAGTCATTTTTTTTATTTCCTGTTAGTTTTGCCCCGAGAACGACTATGCCTGATTTTTTAAGAGACACAATGAAGTTTAGACTTTTAAATAGCAGAGAGTTAATTTTCTTTCGAATTTCAACGCTGTCTCCCCCCCCCCCACACCCCCGAATCGCCAAGGTATACCACACAGAAGCGTTCACAGAATAACGATCCATAACTTTTTTTAGTACTAAGTTTCCAGATATCGTGTCACTTTCTTGAGCTCATTTTTTGTTGCTTGTTTGATTACGTAGACAACATGGTTTTTGACACCGCCGTGTGTCGCCACTATTCTGAGTTTCTCAAAAAAAAATCTCGAAAAACAAACGCTGCTTGGACAATTCATGACACAGTTGTCTGCTGTGGTACAGAAAAGTGCAAATAATTAGGTTGACACATATCTGTGAATATCTTGTGAAAATTCAATCTGAGGCCATAGTAGAGGGTACATTGTTGATATGCAGTAATAGAGAAATCAGCGTCCAGCTATCTTATCTTTTATTGCTATCATCCTGTCGGCCAGTGCCTGCTTTACAGCACTGGTAGGTTAACCAAGATACGGGTGTATTTTTAGTACACTAAGTGAGATTTTCTCATCTAACGCATCGACTGCTACAAAGTGCATCATGGAAAATAAAGGAGGTGTATTATTATAGGGATTTACGTTCCTGAACACTCTCCTCTACGCTATCAGCACGTCCTTGGCGACAATGGAAACGACAGAAGCATGTTGGCAGCAGAGAGATGCGTCTCCAATGTCCTCTTAAACTAAGGGAAGAGATTTACCACGTTTTACATGCTTTATCTTTAGAGACTGACTTTGAAGTCTCCATTATTCATCTCACAGAGGGTTTATTTCTCCTCCTCTCAGCTGTCCCTGGAACGTGTCCCAGACTGAAACCAGTTTTGGCAACTAGATCAGACAGTTGTGCATCTTACATAAACATGATAAATGTCTGTATATAGATGAAGTCAGATGCGGTCCACACGGTGGTTTTCTCCATGGGCTGAAACCGACATGATTACGTCGCTAACGTATTCATCACGCAGGCCTGAGCCAGCAACTGAAAGGGGCAAGTAGCCTAAAGGGTCTTTTTTCTGAAAGAGTAGATCTTTCTACAACGAAATCTATGAGCATTCACAGCGTAAATTAAACGTAAGTTCGAACAGGTCTTTTCTCAGCCAAAGAGGCGTTATTTCGAATTTCCAAATTTCTCTCTCTCCCAATCCCACTCGCTTTCTTCCTTTTTTTTCAAATCCTTTGACTAATATAAAAAGTCGGCTGATTTACGTTCCTCTTCGTTTAGTTCAGAAATCATCTGGATTCACGTTAGGGCAAAGAGTCACCTTGTCAGGAGTTTCCTGACAGTATCACACGTGGGTCCAAAATCTCCACAGGTATATGTATGCACCCCCACGAAATACTTACGGCTGCAACTGTCTAAGGTAACACATTGTACTTCGTCACACTTTGGATCTTATATTATATTCTAGAGACAATGGGTGCACATGATCTAAAACAAAGTTAAGATAGTTGCACATGCGAGAAGGGGGGTATATAAGCCTATATGGTTTGGTTTGTGTATTTTGCAGCTCTGACCATATTACAACTAGTATTTCAACCTGCTTTCTTTGAGAACTAATTTGCACGGTGCACAGGTGTAATAGCTACAGTGCCTTGGGGCGGTTGTACATGTCGGCGAAAAAGCGAGTCATATTCATGGTTTCTACTACGGGGAGACATGAAGTAACGGCAACGGTTTAGCTCTTGTAGCTAGCCGTGTAGATAATATGCATTTTTACCTATAGATATCAACTCGAGACCATTAAGCTAAAACTATTTTGGTGCCTCTTTGTTTCCCATATACAAAAGTTGAATTATATGTGATAATTGAAATCAGAAGAAGTCTGTCAGACACTTTTAGGTCTTAACATTTTCAGAATTCATGTTTTAACCTTTAAAAAAATTAAACGAGAAGTCACAACAAGATGCATTGGTTACATCAAGGAAAAATATAACAGTTCTTCCGGATGTTTTCTCTGCAGTTATTTTTGCTGCAGATATAGTCCACCCCTTGTCTTCAATCTTGTGGTCGACAGAAAAAGTTACGATAAATAATAATAACAATAATTTATTCAAAATTACAACCAAAAGGTTGGAGTTATACATTTATCGTGTAAATACAATAGAATATAATGCTAACGTTTGGCAGGGTAAACTGACTTTTAGCGTCCTGAGTGCAATTAATTCGGTTTCAAAGAATAGTTCTTTACCATTTTAATATTTATTATAACAATATACAGTGTTAATATGGTCATGGACTGGTGGGTAAAATATGCTGAGGGTTGCCAAACCCGATCAACCACGATGTTTGAGTTGCGTTATGGTGAATAAATGGTCAATAATCTTAAAAAAACAGCCTAAAAAGCAACTAGTTTAAAACAGATATGTTTTACAATTTTTCAATTGATTATAGTTAATGATCATGAATGAAATCCCAGTTTTCTTTGGACTCGTTAACGGTCGTATTGTCTTGACCTGATCAACAAAATGGAATGGCGTCTCAGTGCTCCCCGAACACCTCTACAACTTAACCGAGCTCCGATCCATAGTGCTTTAGAGTCACCCGTCTCACAAAATGATAAATCTAGTATAAAGTTGGTCTAAGTACATGTACATGGTGCTAAGAATGTTAGTGAGACTATTAGTTGCGTTCACATACGTGTAGGATTCAATAACCCTCTCACCTCATTTCGTCAACTATGCTTTTTAAACCCTGCCCAGGACTTGTTTTAAAAGTCCTACACGAAAGAAACTCAAAAATATATTTGATACAACATAATTTGTCAAAATCATACTGATGATTTAGAGACACAAATTAATGCACGACTAGTCACTTATGTTCTGTCTAAATTGTGCTTACATTTCTATCTGGATATGCCATTATATCCCAACAGTACAATAATTGATAAAGGAAAATCTTGAGCAGGAGTTGTAATCCATTGCTCCAAATGGGGGCGGTATGACAAATGCGGTATGACACAGACAAAGTTTCCATATAAATACGAGCCTTAAGTTCCATGGCCTGCTACAGTTAGGACATAAATACGGTTGTTAAAACTTATATTGCGATTATAAATGTCGTCAGTGTTTGGAAATTCCCCTTTCGTAGAAATGCAATGATGACTGTTATACAAATGCCAGATGTGCTGGAAGCACATATTTGCACGTCTTTGGGAAGACATACTTGCTGACGCGCATGACGTATAATACAAGTACATGTGAATGCTAAAACAGAAAAGAATAATATAATGTATATAATGTAAATGTCTATGTGTCGACTTAACTTTTCAATTTGTCTAACTCCAAAGTTTAATTTGCGCGCACTTTATCAGCGTAAGTTTAGACGGGAGTCCTTGTGTGAAGAAGAGAGAGCGTCCATCTCAGCTACTAGGCTTCCCGTCGACGCAGCTAAGAATGCGTAGTCAGTCACGTGCAGCATGGTGTTACTGGCGCGTTTGGGGCCGCCATTTTGTCTGAACGTGACACTCAGATTCGACTGAAATTCTCTGGAGTGAAATTCTCTGGAATGCAGTCTTTCCACCTCTGACAAGCGTCCGTTGCTAGATGGTAGATGTCCGTTTGATGAAGGGGCGGCCATTTCCTCTTCGATGGATTTACTGGAACGAGTCTTGATCTCTACTACAACGTACAGCATGGCAGCCATGACAAGCGTCCCAAGGCACACGTAGATCTTGGAGGCAATGCAGAGATGGCTGGAGTACCCATACGCGGTAGCGAACGCAATATTTTGCCAAAGGTTGAAGTTTGCGAACGCTGGACGTTGGTTTGAAGGAAAACGGACTCCAAATAAAGCTGAAAAGATAAAGATTCACCATAATTTGTTTCTATTCAGTTGAATTTAAAAAAATGTAGTCCCCCGTTTATGTTTTAACATAAACAAATGTTTATGCATAAGTATAGTGCTCGGTGTCAACACATCAAACTTATTCGCCACGTGTTTTCTATCTGTTACATTTGTGCACTTGGCTTGATATTTTCACACAAGGTAAAAGTACAACTTGTAGACTTGCATTAACTTCAAACAGATGTACATGAACATGGCGAAAACTGCGAAAGGACGCAAGGAATCGGTATTTGCTTGGTATATCTCCGTTACAATTGCAAATATTGATATATCCTATTTATTTAACGTTTAATTCCGTGATTTGGTTCCATGCACCCTGCTTACCTAATGTGACGCTCATCCAGACCCCATTCAAAAAACCCCATATGGTCGGAACAAGGAAGAAATAGGCAATGTGTTCCGGGGGGATGGGCCACGCAAGCATCTGAATGAACAAGGCGACGTTCACAACGAATGCAGAAAGATAGAGGGCGTTGAATCCTGTCCATTTTAACAGGTGTCCGAAGATGTAAGGTCCTACAGAACTGGACACGCCGTAGCATATCATTGTGTAGCCCACCCACTCTATGCCAAGCTCACAGGTGATGTACGCCTAAAAACACATAAATTGTAATTAGTAATTGCTAATTTATTTTAAAGAACTTTTATGAATTTTAACAGTGCGCTCACAGGTTTTAGTCTCTTATAACCCTTAGTAGATTGGGTTTTATTTTTAAATGTGAGACGTTACTTAAATCATTATCATTCTTATTATTACTTTAATTATAGTTCATTCTTATTATTACTTTAATTATAGTGGTGAACATGTTGAAGAAGGCATCAAATACATGCTATAAATTACGTAAAATATCACTTTGAAATTGTGAATTAGGTCAAGTAGAGATTGGCACCCCAACGAGTACTATTTACAGCTGAATTTCAACAAATCTGTGTTTAGTCTTTTTTCAGATTTCCTCTCTCTCTCTATATATATATATACAAGGGGAGATTTAGGCCGTCTTCTGGGTCTTCCAGAAGACGGTCAGATTTTCAAGTTTACATTGACGGATATCAATTTTTTCTGTCGGAAGACGGTCAAAAATAGAGGATGGATCAGCAAAGATAATTTGGAAGACTGTCAGAAAATATCTCTGGATCCGCCCCTGATATATATATATATATATATATATATATATATATATATATATATATATATATATATATATGGTCCGTGTGACACGGGTACCTGTATACTCCGATCATGCGCAGATGCGTCAACGTAGTCTCCTCATTATTTTGGCCAAAGCTAAAGTTTGAAAATGGCACCTTTGCTGAGTACAGTATGCTAGCATTTATTGTCTGTTTTGGAAAAGATCAATGTGCAAACGAAACATTTTCTAAGTTGCATCACATTATATAAGCGAACAATGAATTTAAAATGGGCTTTCGAATGTCGCAACGCAATGACATAACATGTACACTGCAAGTACACTACATTCCAGAACAAGGAACACATGCAGTGTTTTTAAAAAAAAAACCTTGATTAATGGAGAACTTTAAACACGACCCTTGCACAATTGGATGTCTTATTGTCATTAAACGAGGTAAGTATAATCAGAAGACTGTTAATGGTGAAATTAATGCATGTTGATGAAGTGCATGTTGTTAAGTTTAGAATATTTCTAAATTTGAAAGTTACACCACACACCAATAGGGACCAGTATCACAGGCGGACCCAGCTTTTTATCTTGCAGACTTACACGGTTAAAAATGCAAGTATGTATTTCAAACTTTTGTTGTATATTTTTATACATAGTGAGTTTTTTTAACATACATGTATTTGACATGGTTTGAGATCATTTTCATGAAGATACATAACTGTATATTAAGTATATCCAGCATCATCACAAAAATGCTATAATAATTTATGTATTTCTGACATGATTTGCAATACAAAGCTGAATGTTTTGTCACATTAGCACAGAAAGTAAATGTACCGAAAGAAAAAGAACAGGTGACACATATCTGTGCATGTCTCTTTGGCTGTTTGCTGGTGACAAAAAAATTACAAATCATATAAAGTGTGATAACGTACAAGAAGGCCCCTATCGTATGATAACTTGTACAACAGGGAAGGCTGAAAGTGGCATAGAAATAAGTTCACCTGCTAAAATTCACTTTTGTCATTGGTACACTTTTTGTAGGACTTTCCTCTGAAGGGTTATGATGTTTATAATTTTCATTTCAGATATCTTGACATCACTATACATAAGGTATATACTTCAATGAAAGCAAAACGTGTGTACGGCATGATATTTGCTCGTAAAATTCAACTGTTGATAGGTCAAATAGCCGGCAGCTGCAAGGGTTACAAGAAATACTGAGCACAAGCGTTTTCAGTTAGATAACATCAAGTATACAACTATTTTCCCACCGGTTTCCAGAAACCGTGCCCCCCCCCCTCGATCCACCCCTGACGTATGTTAAAAAACCATACAAATTCCTTACTTTGTTGACTCAATGATAGTTATTTTTAATAAATAAGCCCACAATTTTGGGTTCTTTTTTTTTTTTTTTTTTTTTGGGGGGGGGGGCATTTTTATAATTTCCTATAGAGGTCTACTACATTTATCATTTTCTTTTCAGATATCTTGACATCACTATACATAACATAAGAAACTCCAATGAAAGCAAAACATTACGCCCGTGGGTAAGTTGCATGATTTGCTCGTAAAATTTACCTGTTGATAGGTCAAATAGCCAACGGTTTCAAAGGATGTAACGTGCTGATCACAAGCGTCTCAGCGCGTAGGCGGCATCAGCTATTTTAAAGATGTACTATTTGCGTTTGAAAACGTGCCGGAATTTTTTAATATGTCTACGTATCCTTCAAAGCCACTTACTCTTTCCAAACAGACAAAAAAAGTAAAATAAAGAAATAAAAGATCAAATAAAAGTACCTGACGTCAATATTTTCTTCTACAATATACTTGTACTGGGTACAGGAAGGCATGGTGGTTTAGGTGACTTGCCAATCATTTAAAACCAAATTATTTAATTAGAAATAGTGTATAACATTAAAGTCAAGTGCAGGGACTGTTGGAGCAATGGGTGTCCAATGATTAGGAGAAATTGATTTATATTTCTTTAAGGAAAATTCGATTTGCGGGAAAATTCGGGATAGGATAACTGCCTTTTACCGGTAGAAGCCCGCCTGGCGGTTGTTAGTTGGTTGTAGAGGCATGTCAAGTTATTCTTAAATTGTCCTGACCGGTTTCCAAACTGTGCCCCACCCCCCACCCCCGCTCGAGCCGCCCTTGACAAATACCTCAACAATTCTAAAATTTATTTTGTTTGTTGACACAATGGCAGTAATATTTTCATAAATACGCCCACATTTTTGTTATTTTGTTAGGGCGCATTTTCACAATTTCCTATGGAGGGCTCGTATATCTATCATTTTCTTTTCAATTATCTTGACATCAATATACATAATATATATACTCCAATGGAAGCAAAATTGCGTCGCCCGTGGGTACGTTGAGTGACTTGCTCGTAAAATCCACCTGTTGATAGGTCAATTAGCCTACAGTCCCAAGAGCTATAACAAGGGCTGAGCACAAGAGTTTTTCGGATTAATAACATGTGTCATACAGCTATTTAAAAGGTATATATAAATTTTATGCCTATGTGTCCTGCAAAGTCATTTACTCTTTCCAAACAGAAAAATAAAACCTCTGTGATAAAAGTACCTGATATTGATATTTTCTGGTCAATTGGTCAATTGGACGCCCTTTTTGGAAACTGTGTTTAGATACCACTTGTTACTTAATTTAAGACGTTCAGCTTTAAGGTTTTGGCAAGGTGGACGTCTGTAGAAAAGTAGCCGAGTTTTAAAAAAGTTATCTAAAAATTGACCCTTTAAAGAGGTACACAAATTTTAAAATCTAAAATAACAATCTCATTAACTATACCAGTAAGACCCATAAAATAGAGTGAACATTGGTCTAAGGTATAAGCCATTGCCTTATCTTTCTGAAAAAAAAAAACGACTGCTTATCTTTGTCCAAGTAGACGTAAATAGTCGGTCGTTAAATTAAGACCAATTTTGGACTAAAGATCTTTTACAGTAAACGTGACACCAACGTTGACTCTGTCTTGAACCCGGGTGTTTTTATATTTTTAAATCTTAAAAAAAGCGTAACCCACCTTAGTAAAATCACCGAAGAGAAATGCTTGGTGCAATCCGCTAAACATACATAAAGGTACCAATAGCGACATGCGGTAGTCTTTCAGGAGCATGAAGGTCCCAAGCAGCGTCTCCAAGGTGTCCTTCTTGCTCTCATTGCCATGAGCATGGGGACTGACTTCCGGTATAATGAAAGTCGTGATGACAAGTCCTACGAATATCAGCCCTACGTAGCTTCCTAACAGTATATACACAAGGTAGTCTTCTGGTCGATGTGTCTTCGTTTCAGCGTGAGTATGCAGTGTTTCTATAGTCTCTGGACAACTTAGTAACCCACAGGAAGCATTTAAGCGGTAAGCTATGGGTGTGGTATCATTGTTGTATGTGGTGTCGTTAGTGGCCGGGGTCGCGTGGCTGGAGTGCTGGAGCACAGAGAATGCGATGATATTGCCCCAAACGTGAGAACTTTTGAAGAGTAGCCAATGGAGGCCATTGAATCGACTGATGCTGAACTCGATTGGTTTCTGTGCTATCTCGGCGTGGTCAAGGGCCAGAGTGGTGATATAAAACCCCGTGGCCGTCCACTGAGCCCCTAGGGCAAGCCCCAACAACATCCCTGCTGGTAATAAGGTGTAAACCTTTGGGTAAAAGTTTGACGATACGAAGACTATATGACAACATTGCGCTAGCATCAACGTGCGTTTTGGCGTAAATTTTTCAACCAAAATTGGTGCATATAGGCAAGATAAGATAGCACCGACCCAAATCGCACAGAGCGTCAAGAACCCGAGTCCACCTTCTGTGTTCAAGCTACTTTGTAGGCTTCCCAGGCCATTGAAAGCTGTCATTACACAAGTGCCTGCCACTGCCAGCAAAATCAAATCTAAATACTTCCTGCGTTGTTGCGTCTTTCGCGCTTTTTTCTCGGTAACAAATTGCGTCTCTGCTTGCCCTTCTGATGCCTCTCCATTGAGGAACTTTTCAGCCTCTGGCATAGAAGGATCATGCTCTTTGAATTTGTCACTCGGGGGATGAATTTGCGTCGCCGTCTCCGCTGATGTCATCTTGCTGTGCACTTTCCTGTGTGATTGCAATACGGACAACGCTGTCCTATGTCTAGTTCCCAGTCCGCCGGTATTCCTACCAATCTAGGCCGCGTGTATGGCATACGGTGACCTAGAAATAAAGATGCAGGTGGATTTATTGTGATGACAGTGTTGAATAATGCATACATATGTACAGAAATATCAAACATTTGTTCTATTCTAGTAGTACATTTTTCATTGCAACGAAAACAAAAACGTGAATTCATGCCACATTTGATCGGGCTACAGGTATATACTTTTTAACATAATAAAGACCACGGATTCCTACTTTTTGATCGACACTTGAGAAAAGTGGTCAGTTTGTCGACCTGTTTATCTATACGTCTTCTGGTATTACATCACCTGTTCCATACAAGCTGTGTTTTTACTATCTCGACTTTCTTACATGCATAACTAAGAGAGTACCACCTCCTCGTTGCAATTAATAAAATCTACATTTGGGATTAGAATTTAGGTATTATAAACGTTAACGTCGTTTTTATTATTAGGCATTACATGAAGTGACCCTTGCCTTGTGCAAAATGGTATCACCACTAAACACACAAACGCGGCCTTGTCTTACCGGTGATACACAATGGTCGATGACTGATATGACAGAAACTAAGATTATTTCCGAAAAAAACAATGGAAAAGTACCCAGTGCGAAGATTGGCTTTATCAAGAAGACATTGGAAGGAAAATCTTACCTCCCTGTCGCGGCATTACTTCCAACTCTCCTCATGACAAAAAGCCATCTTGTACTTGGTATATCTACGATATTTTGACCTATATATTTTACGTGCACTGCATACACTTTGACCTTTTGCAACCATACCTTCTGATTAGATAGTGAAGAACACTAGTACCATATATTATATTGGGGGACTGTTCAAGTCCATCGATTTGATGCTGTTTTGGTTCACACACACACACACACACACACACACACACACACGTTGATTCCCAGAAAAAAATGAACCCGCCTTTTGGCTAACCACAAATAACGACTGCAGTTTAAAGAAAGTAATTGCATCGTTGCAGCTTCTCTCAAGTCTCTCTCGACTGCTTTATTATTTCTTTTTTTCCACATAATTGGCTTCGGCATGTTATTCAACCTTAGTTATTATTCTTCCTAAGTGCTTACATCCGAAACGCCCCTTACAGCATGTGTATAGAACACGAAAGGAGAAAGGTTCTTGTTTTTTTTTTTTTTTTTTTGGCCCACGCAAAACATAGGTCTTTGACTTATCATTACCTTCTTTAAAACAGAACTGCCCTTAATTAACCTTTTTCTGTCTAGCCCCTCAGCAACCGAAGCCTGTGTCTCTCGCAGACCGCGAAGAAGCCCCATATCACTTCGATCAGGAATGCACATCGGGAACGAGCATATATCTTCCAAAATAAATAAGAACCCAACATTTTCAGATTTTCAGCTGCCCTTGAAGACTTTCAAGACGAAATGCATAAAATAAGCAGTTTTTAGAACAGACAAATTTCAAGTTGTAATCAAATTGCATATGTGAATGTATACCTTGTAGTTTTTTCTTGCAGAGTTCTAAGTTAGCGTTTTAGATTTTAATACTAGTGACTTTATAAATAAACTATTACCAGCACTTAAGTGACCTTGGCAACATCAAGGAGGGTTCACGGCAAAAGCCCTAATCAAATTTGAGCACTGGCCCTAATCTTGTGGTCGACATTTGGCTCAATAAACAGATAGTAAGTGATCAAAGGTGTGATAGGGGCAAGCACAGTCAGGAAATTTATTTATTTATTTATTTATAATGATAATGATGATGATTTTTTATACCAGAATATTATTTTTAGATGTTGCGTAGATTTTGATAAACACTTTTTATACACATTTCAGATTTTTAGTGTAACTGTATCATATCTATCAGTCTATCACACTTCATTTTTTGTTCTCAAAATAGACATAGAAATAATAGTTCTAACACGTAACCCCTTCGTCAGCATCTAATACATAAGCTGTTATAAACGCCTGTAGCACGCAGTGCTCTCAGCGGAGTACAGCAGTAGTGTATTATGCTTGATGCGCGCGGTGACTGTAAGTAGCTGCCGTCATACCTTCATTCATAGAAAACGTAAGTAATTTGTCTACCTGGGCAATATTCGCAGTGTGAAATGGTCACACCCCAAGCACCCTTAAAGTATACAAAATTTTGTAGGTTTTCTCTGTCAATGCCAAGGTTATTGACCGCAGGATGATGACTGTAACATGTGCCTTGGTATTCGGACAAAATGTGTTGGAAAAAAAGCGATCTAGAGTATTATCAGTTTAGAGGTGTTATCCTCCCTTTTCCGAATAATGTTCTTGGTCTGTGGACATATATAAGTACACAGTGTGCATTGATCTGATTATGGACTTGAAGAAAGAGAGTTAAAGCCGATGTACTTATTTTTGTAATGAACAATAGGAACAAGTGTCGTCTACGAGTAACCCGTAGTCTCTAGATATCGAAAACGGGTCAGTAACCTACTGTTCGATATGGACAATGTGAATATATCAGTGCTCCAACATATTATGTACATACCATAAAATTGTTTCCTTTTCATTGCAGTTAATTTTCATTAATAATGTTCATACATGAATTGTATTCACAAGTTTGCTTTTGTGTAACGACCCCTTCCTGAACCATAGGATTTTCATTTTGAAGGTCCACTTAAGGAAAAGACTCAGCCGCGCATGCACGTGGAATAACAGAATAAGGATAACTCATCCAAGTACGGAAAACCTGAACTTGGACTCGGTGCAAATTTACTTCTCAATAAGATTCCACAAGTTATTCGGTGCTGGGTCACGAAGTGTAGGCCCTACTGTACTTTAGATGCTGAGGTACAGGTCCAACTTAAGATTTTACACTTTTTTATATCTTATGTTTTCTTTACCAGATTGTATTGTTTCCCAGACCCATTGACGAACATACGGCATGCACATGCGGACTAAATGTCTAGCACGATTTAATCGCACTCAAGGCTGTGTCCGTTGGCACGTGTTGGGTTCCTGCCATTACTAGAGTATCGACATCCCTGTCCTATCCGGCGGCTGATTTGTACGCCCACGTGTCAGCAAAAGCTCCAATTACTTATGAATTATAATTAGTGATCAAACTCGCTCAAACACCACTAAAAAGTAGAACTTAACTTTGGCTTATTGGTCCTAAATATTAATATGATGTAGAAATGTTGTTTTTTTTCTTTTTTTTCTTTTTTTTTTGTTAATACGTGAAATAAACTGATCATACCCTATACTTGGTCAAATGAAGTTTCTTCTGCTTACAGTCAGACTCCATCGGGATAACAGTCGCATTCCCTGGCAAAAACTGTCTGTAAGCAGATGAAATATTGGCTACTACTCTGTTAAGTATCTGTTTATTTCTCAAGCTATTGACAAAAGAACTTAAACATTTCTGTTGATATTTCGTGGCTGATTAAACTTTTCAACATGATATGACGTAGATATGACACCGAAACGTCGACCCCTTAAATTCGTTGATAAGAAGAACTATGGTGTGTGTTACACGCTCATGTCGGGCAAAGTGAGTCGATCAACTCACTGCAAGCTCTCGGATACGCTCGCTGTTAGCATATCCCAAGATCAGTTTATCTTAGAAGCCTTCTTCGTGTTATTTTATTTCTACAGATAACTGTTAGTGAGCACTAATTGGGCTTTGTAACTCGGCCTATATCTGCCCGTCTATGTGACTCCCTGCCTCTTCGTCCGTACATCCATTTACAATTTTCGTAGCCACGGCAATTGCGCGCGATTAAAAAACGCGTTTAGTTATTATGATAGTTATGATGCGTTTAGTTATGATAAATTGAGCATAGCACCGACGCCATGTAATCGAAATTGTACCACGTTCACATGATCACAGCTAGGATCAGTCCTTATTTGTCTTTTCAACATCTTGAGATGTGTCACATAATCAAACCTCGCTCGTTGTAAGCCTGGTAACCTTCCACTCATACGAACATTTTCCCCCCTTTTTTAAATATCTTCCTGGGTTTGATTGAAGGATATTAATCATTGGTAAACCTCCAAGATTAATGCCAATGGAAAATTTGGTCTTTCTTTAGTGCAAAATGACTGTAGTACATTAAACTAACCGAAAACACCAATACTAAACCACACGGCACTGTTATGTTTAATCATTAAACATGTCATTAAAGCTGGGGAAACCAAAAGTGTTAATAAATAAAGTATTTAGCCCCGTTTTAACAACACTGACCTCTACAATTAAAAAGTTATACTTGGACGACCTACCCCAGATCAAGTTGCGCCTGGACGACCGTCGCTGCTGCACCAAGTGACCAAGCGTCCAGCAACAAACCCCCTCTTGTACACGTGCATTGTAGTGCGCCAAGTATAGGACGGCATTACACGCGCGTTAAGCGGTGTGTAAACTCACCAAGTATACTCAGAGTAAGAGACGTATTTAATTCGGCAGAGCGAAACGTCCCCCATTGCTCTGAGCGTTTGTTACGTCATGGTTTACGTCACCCATCGCCAACATTTAGACCTGTATTGGTAATCATCAAAAATCATCACCTGACGGAAATCAGTTGATGCTATTCTTAGAGACTGGGCTGCGAGATCTCTCTTGGGACGCTGCTCGCCCATTTTAAGGGCGTTTTGCTTTATGGACGGCGATCACTGATCCATGGCTGTCTACTGTCGCTGTACATATGACCCTTTAGCTTGATCTCCATTGAAATGAAAACCGCACATTATATTTACCTGAATGGTAGACAAATAGTTATCTTCTTGATACTGTATCGCACCCACCCACTCTCTCCATTAAACAGCAACGGGACTAACCAACAAACTGTCTTAACAACGCACCTAGTTCATGTTATTGCACAATATGATTTTCACTTTCCATCCTTTTAGAAACATATCCAAAAATGATATATTATCTGTGGCTGATTATTTAGGATATAACGTGTAGTTTGAGATAAAGGTGTTTTTTATTTTATTTTTTCTTTTTATTATTATTATTATTGTATTATTTTTTTTTTACAGTTCATAGGATGAAAAAAGTTTGTATTTTGTTGCATTCGGCGCCTCTTCACTTACACGCCATGCATTTCAGCATAAGGTGTAAAAAATCAAAATATTACACGGAGGTTCTGAGGGAAGAGTGGAAAAGAAATACGGTTGGGTGGATTAAGAATGCAGATTGGATCCAGGCTCGGAGGCCATTTGGAACATAAATTTTATGCAAAGTGACCAAGATACCTGAAACTTTGGGGAATGGTCATGCACATATTGAAGTTTAAGTCCAGCAAATTTCTTGATATTTGATGGACCTTTGTAGGATTTGATAATTTTTTATGGGGTCACCCTGTATAAAGTTTAAGAAAGGGGTCACGAGAAAAACGTTGCCGGTGTCTTTTCCTTTAATCAGCTGCGGGTTCAGCACTCTAAGCTACGTCACATGAGCCTTAGGCCAGTTAATAGTGTGACCAAACCACTGCAAGCATCCAACAAATATCTCTTCTGAAAGCAAGGACTTCAAGATATGAGGAATTTCACCATCGAAATAAAGAAAAACCTTTATTTTGATTTTTTTTTTTTAATAATTATTTCCTTTAATTCTCTCCCCAACGTCAGCAGAACCGCGAACCACACCTTTACTGCAACGTACTTAACACATCAGTTGATTCTATCTGACCCATCACAGCACTGTCTACTCCTTAGGCATTCAGATCGAATCAGCGTCGATCCAAACAAGTGAACTGTGTGCCCGACCTAGTGTTGCTGTTCATGCAGTGTATGAGGGGCAGACAGAAGTCCGAGTGCATCTCCATCAGCAGAACAAATAACGTGGACTTAGCGTGTCATATTTGAAAGAGCATCAGCGCCATGATGCTTAATAGCAGGAACTATATATGCACAATATATAAAATAAATAATTGAAAAAAAGACAGACAGACAGCATCTCCTCTTTCAACGTTTTTTTAGTAAAGATTAATATTGATTGATATAGGTTAATATTGTGTCAATATATTGTCAATATACTATCAATATATTGTCATCCATGCACAATAGAGCTCGATAAATATAACATATACTGCAACTTCCAACATGAAATAATCGTGACGTAATGTGAATTGCGCTTGGATGTCAATGTTTAGAATGTTACACCAGTGACAAAATGACCATTATAAATGCACCAAGGAAGCGAAAGCTGAGCGTATAAAAGCAGCCTGGGCTGACAAGACATACATGTAGAATAGCTCCTCTTCAGTGTCGTGTCAGCGCCCTGTTTGATCAGGCTACATACTTATATATTGACCGTCTTTTGATCAAACACTTATAAGCAATGATTGATTAGATCGTTTGCGCTGCGTCTGTCTGAAGATAAGCATACCACTGCGCGCTACGGCCCCTAGCTGGACAGTATACCTTCTTTACAAGTGGACATACGTGGATCACTGGTCCTTACCGAATATTTCAGTCCACTTTAACATGAAATAAACCAGTCCGCTATAAAAAAAGTAGCTATCGCTCTAAATACTTCAAAATATTTTTCCTTAAACAGTTGTATATTCTCCTTAAGCGGAATTACAACTGATACCTTTGCTCATAATACGCGGAAAATTGTATTTTTCGTTATGATCAGCTTGCGACTTGAGTTTTTTATTAAACAGGGTTCGGTTAGAGATCAGCTTTCCTCAGTGGACGCTCTGGACAGGCCACCCGGACATGGAGCAAGGTAATGTTACATACAGTGTTCTCTGTCGTGATACCCCCTCCTCCCCTTGCGTCTTGACCTAGCCGTCTTCATCTTAGCGTTTGAACATATAAAACAATGTATCTTACCGCACTTCAACCTGTCTTGAGAATGTCACGGGTGTCACATCCACGCTGTGTTTCAGATGTCACTTTAACGACAGAGAGTGCCCTCTAAAACTAGGCTACCCCTGTGATGCGTTAAACCTGTTTTATAATACAGCATAATTTTTATATCATGACGCCCCCCCTCTCCCCCTTTACGCCTTTACATCTACGCTTGAAATTAGACAAAGAGAGTTCATTTTCCATGAAGTCTTCCGGTCTGTCACATGCAGCCCAGATCTCTGAAACTCTGGGTAGCCACATCATGGAGACCATTCCCATAACCCTTTCGTACTAGCAGGATCGATCTATCTCTGATGGGATTCTCGTTAAATCGCATTCAGTTTAAGCGTGCACTAAAGTTAATTACCCCCTAGCAGTTTCAGTGGGCGTAACAGACATTTAAGCACCTTAAACTGAATGCAATTAAACGAGAATCCCCGCAGAGTTAGATCGATCCTGCTAGTAACATAGGTTTTTGGGAACCCAGTCTTATTCCTTATCCTACATTTGCCTGACACTGGGCCTCAGAATCGACGGAGAACAGCCATCGCGACTTCAAAGAAAATTTTTCATAGCATCTGATTGTTAGTCCACGTTTGACATTAAAATGTATTATTTGCTCAGACAAAAGCATTGCTTATTTGGTATTTCATTCATTCTTAATTCTTAATCTTAATTCTATTGATTTATTTATTCATTCATTAAATTATTCATTTAATATTTCGTAATTAATCATGAGCTCTTGCATATATATTCATGAAGTCCCGTATGAGACGTAATGGAAATAGTTATTCCTTAATGTTGAATTATTTGTTTCACTTCTTAATTTAAAAAATGTCACTTTCCCGTTATTAAACAATTTCATACTAAAAGGCATACAAATGAATCATTTTAGTAAACAAGAAAACGCATTACCTGTCCGCCAAACTCCAAGCATCAGTGGACATTTTGTCTGCGGTGGAAACTGCTATGGTCAGACATTCGAAAATCTCCAACATATCCTGATGAAGATGGCCAATAAGTCAAGGTATTACCTTTGTAGCTAATGGTGCTTTCGGTCACTGACTGATCTGTTGACATACATCAACTAAGTTTGTTTATGATCATCAATCATCCAACAGGTTGGGGTTATCGACGCCACCATGAGTGAAGTCACCAATAAGTAGACAGTCCTGACAGTCCGATGATACGATTTGCCTAACGTAACTGCGCTCAGGGTACGTGGAGTGGCGCTCTACCTAAGAGAAGATTGCGTTAAATGTGGAGGACAGTACGTCTATGTAGAAACGCTCGTGTCGATTGCACAAGCTTTCTCACCGTTTGTGCATAGCTGACCTTCATATATATGTATGAGCAATACGGGTACATGTACGTTCAGGAGCAAAACCAAGGTAACATCAACGTGGACTTTGGACTTATATTCCTTTTAGCTTTTGTTTATAGTAACATAGAACTACAGCCAGATAGAGACAGTTCTTACTTTATGTACTTAGCGGCAATAAATGTGTTAAAATGAGTGTGCTATATTTCCTTCAAATTGAATTGGCGAGAAAATAAAAGGAAGAAAAACTGCATTATTGTATTTCGTTTGTTTATTGAATGAGGGTGTGACACTCAAGATTTTATTTTTTTAAACAACCAAAAAGAATTTTATTAGTATTTACATTTTAAAGTGCATCTGCACTTTGAGCTGGTTGGTCTGAGTGCATAGCTCCATTACTGCCCTTAATCAAATCATATTGTTTTCAGTTGTACATGTACATGTGTGATAATGTTAAGCGGTACTCGGTTCTTAAAGGTATTCTAGACACGCTTGAAAATTTTATGGAGTCAAATGTCTAAACATCTATGAAACTGCTCATTTTTTCCAATTCACAAGATAAAAACCCTAAGAAAATTACATTTTTCAATGTCACGAATAAAATGCCGTCAAAATGTAATAAAATGTTATAATATGTTAATTCGCTAAGAGGAAATTTATTTAACTAGAAATAGCAGAAAAAACATTAGATCAAATTGAAGATGCAGGTCGAACCTTTATTCAGCACAAATTTCCCTTTCATCTCCAGCAAAATTAGATTTGGTGCAAAAATCTTGTATAAATTAATTCTGATCTCAAATTATAAGTATATTGCTTGGTGAAGCGAACAAAATATATTTAACTTTCTTTATTTGCTCTGTAACTTTTTTGACCCTCATTAAAGACGCATCTCATTGCTCTCCTTGTTTAAAAAGATAAGTCACATGTCACCGCAGTGTGTCGTGCTTTGTGAGGACTTAAGATTGTGCTAGGGAGTGCGTTTGTTGCGACAAATAACACAATTAGACAAAGTGAGAACATAATATTATGATTAAAAACACCTTCAGAGAAAATATATTTTCGATATACTTAAGACGTAAAAGAAGAAAGGAAAAACCCATCCCATCCCCCGATTCTCAGGATTTATTAATAGCACCGAGAGGACATGATAATGAAAATTTGCGAGTGTGTGTGTGTATGCGTGCGTGTGTGCTCGTGTGTGTGTGTGTGTGTGCGAGAGAGAGAGAAAGAGAGAGAGAGAAACAGAGAGAGAGAGACAGAGAGAGAAAGAAAGAGAGAGATCACGAATCATCCTACAATGTTCACGTGGTCTCGCGTGACCTCTGAAACCAGAGTTGACTTCTCAGGTAAACACGACCTACATACGCTGATCTAAAAATTGAAGCGTCATTGTTTGCAATCATCGGAATAATGTTTGCCTAAGATTAACATCAGGTGTACGCATGTGCAAACTTACAGCCACTCGACATGGTTACAACGAACTAGCAATTGAAATCCCGTGGAAAGTGGTGGATCTTATATGAAAACATTGCCATATACATGTATTCAGTTTCTGTTTTTGAATTCTGCTGTGATCCTACATGTTATAGGAAAGAGCTCAGGTGCGGCAGCGGGAGACCATGAGAGTAAATTTGTTGTACGGTCTCTAGGGCAAGTTCGGAGTAAGGTATGCCTATTGTTGTATTTGATTTGATAGTGAAAGTATTGGTACATGTACTAGTACCTGTATCAGCCTATGTGCGACTGTATATGCCACGTTTAAAGAGGAACGAAGTGAATGGTATAATAAAATATAATACATGTAGATGCTGTTTATTACGTATATAGTGCATGTTAATACGGCACACGAGTCTATGCACTGAAGGGAAGCATGGTGAACAAAATAGTAACTGAGTACATAATAAACACTAAAATTTTCATAAGTGAACAGCACACTGCGCTTACACTGCAATAATAAAATAGATATTATTGGCCCAGTTATAGATCTACGTATTTGATGAAATGCCTTGGAGGGTGGATAAAATAACAGAGACTGCACCAGTGTGTAGGGCCTAGCCAACGTTATGGTAAATGCTCGGTTTATAACCTGATATCATACATAAACCAGATCAGCCGACTTTACTATTTATACCTGGTCTTTATAGATCTGGTCAATTCTGAATTCTAAATCCTAAATTATGTTATTAAAAACACCGTGTAGACAGAGAACGTACATTTATATGTGCATGTATCATGGCTTTAACAACAGACCAACGCGTCTAAGAGAAACCACATTTAAAAATACATAAAACATAGAACAAGAAAATCAATGTATACTAAGTTGAAACCCAGCACTGTGGCGCACACCATATGACACACGACAGATTACCTACTGAAGTAGTGTGAAAATCATCAGTGTATTGATTGCTATTTGAATATTGCTTCCATTACCAATATTATACAGTTGTTCATAGAATGCGAGCAGTTTTTTGAAAGGGTCACGCTGTGCACGTGAAATACGCTAGACGCTAATTCACAATATTTACCAAAGTCCACAATGTACCGGTATGTTGTACAGCCCCTTTAACAATAATACGTCGGACGTCACCCCCCCCCCCCAACCCCAACCGCAACCCCTCACCCCGACTGTTTGACTTGCTATACATAAGCTTAATTTCCACTTAATATAATTTCATTCCAGGTGTATTGATATAGGCCTGAATATGATAAAAAGGTATTCGTCTTCCACAATGCCTCGACCTAATTTTTTTTTCAATTTTTACACTGAGCTCAGTGTAAAGAAACCGTATTTGCACAAGAAAGAAATAATACATAGAAATGATCTGCTGAGTTGAACTGATCTGGTGAATGGAATAGGCTGAATGTGCTTTGTACATAAAACACGTAGGGTAGACCGGGGCTAAACGCCCCCCTTAAGCAAGAAACATCACAATTTTCCCTGCTGAAGGTATAGACCGTTCAAAGTGGGTGTTAACTATGAAGGGCTGTCTAGACTACAAACTGATACTAACACTTTTGGAAACAAACAAAAGAAAAACCTTATAGGTAAAAAATAGATAAATTATAAAATCGGCCTTTTTGCCCCATGGCTGGGGCATTACGCCTCGCACCACGGGGCTAAACGCCCACCGTGGGCGTCTTGCCCCAAACTATAGGCGTTATGCCCCGCCTTTGTACAAAGCAAAATAAAATCAAATTATATTTCTACGAGACAACTTAGTAAGCCTTTAAAAGCAACATATAACATTTTGGGGTACTGAGATAATAAAAATACCCATCAAATTTATTCAGAATGAGCTGTAATTCTACTCTTTACGACAGGGCACTGTGATACTTCCAAAATTAAGTTCCTCGTACAGCCACTTGCTTTGGCTTTTCCCCATATAAGTGTTATAACTGATTATATACAATAAAAAAACGTGCATGAAAGAACACTTCCGCATCTTTTTAGAATTATTTTTTATTTAAAAACGAAAGGGGGCAAAACGCCCAGTGATCGGGGCAAAACGCCCACTATAGGCGTTTTGCCTCATATCAGCATGGGCGTTTTGCCCCAAAGTGAGATTTTGTATATTTTTTCAAAAATCGGCGGGAAAAGTTTTATACAATCTGACTTCATCGAAACTTGTATGGAGGTCTGATACCATCCTATCTGTCACCAACAAAGTTTTTTGAATTCGTGCATTTGGTAGGTGGTGTCACTGATGTTAAGGAAAAGGCTAAATAACAGTAAACAAGGCAAAAATTAACAAATTATCATAAAATGCTTATTTTTTAGTTTGTGGTCATCTCCGTCATGGAGGATAAGTCTGCTGGAAATCGGAAGTGGACAAAACATCACGAGACGCGTATTTATACGTAATACCTGAAAAAAAGCGGGTGGGCGTTTGACCCCGACTGGGCGTTTAGCCCCGGTCTACCCTACGTTTGTATTAGCAACGTCAACATAGTCATCATTTAGGGCAAGGATCATCTCTCTTGCGAAATATTGTCACACACACACACACACACACACACACACACACACACAGAGAGAGAGAGAGAGAGAGAGAGGTCGATAATTATTACTCACTCGAGAGTGTTCAATACACAACGTAGATCAAACTTAATTAATCTGGACGTTATATAACAAATCCTGCACGTGGATATTAACGCTGTTTGACTAAAAGCTTGATATAAGACAAAGCCTAGAGCAGCTAGAATATAATGTATTAAATAGTGGCACATCCCTACCCTCTACCAGGCCCGCGGAAAATACGTGTGCTTTTCTCTATCACAGAGAACAAAATGACCGTCTATTTATCTAAGGATGTATCTGTGAATATCTAGTGAAAAAATCAATCCGTGGCCCTGGTAGAGGATAACACAATCCTGTTACAAGGACAACAACATATCAACAAACATACGCACTAGAAAGACATCCTACGAACAAAACGACACTTTAAATAATTTAGTACAGAAAATGATTTTTTATTAATCTACAAACAAAAAAAAAACAAAAGGGAGAAGGGTACACATTGATTTTGATATTGTATGGCGGGTTATATTCATTTTTTTTTCTTTATTCAAGAGTTCCTAGACTCTGATGGGAACAACCGCCAGCACGGGCACTGCCATGGCAGCGGGAACAACAACGGCGTTTGCCGCTCACGCCTTGGTCAAATGGAAAACGCGGAGAGAACTCACGTCAAACCCCGGTCAGACTGACCGCACCGTTTATGAAAAATACCCAGAGCTCACGGAGGCTTTGGAAGCCGTAGAGGAAGCCAGTCAGCGACTAGGAGATCCGGAGAACCAAAAAAGTCTCAAAGCAAGGACGTCTTTAATTTCTTACTTAAATGAATACGTCACCGGCGCTCCGCTGGAATTCACGAAAGTCGAGGAACGCAGTGCTCTGGCCACTTACGCGGCCGAGATCCAGTTAGCTGACCAGTTGACCGAATACTATATGAATACACTGGAAATGTATGGATTATCAACGGTAACACACCTTGACTACTCCAGTATTAGGGGACATGAGCTCCACACTCTACGTCTATTGGCGCTGAACTATAGTGACGCGAGTATGGAGTTTGCGACGCGTCTGGTTAACGCCGGTTTCTTGCGTTTGCTGCTGCAGGATTTGTCGGCGGTTTCAGAGGGAATAACCTCAGGGAAATTAAGCATTAAGGTAAACTTTAACTATTTACCTAAATTATGATCAGTAGGTCTCTTATTAGAGGTTAAAATATCAGCTTTAGAGTTTTAAGCTGAAGAAAAACATAGCATTTTTCATGTTTTTAAAGCTTATATTAAAGGCGCATATCACGTCATTTATTTAATTCTATCCGCTGCCAACTGAATCGAAAATCACATAATATGATTGTCAACTCTTCTTGATAAAATCAAAACACTGACAGTAAAATCGTCGCCACAAGATGTACGTCTTTACAAATGTACTCGGCCTAAAACAAGTGCTCAAACAAACCTTTGTATATCCAAATTCTTTTCAGAATAAAAATGTCCACGTGGCTCTCTGGACCAATATTTCTATTCTACACAATTGTGCCAAGTGGGAAAATTGTAAGCAAGACTTTCAGGAACTCGACGCCATTAATATTCTCCTGCCGTACAAAGACGCTGAGAACCAGGGTAAGAGGAATAATAATAATAATAATAATAATAATAACGTTTATTAATACAAGCCAATTGCAACAAAGGCTATGGGCCATCATTTCCCAGTCACACAGTAAGAAGTAGAGTTTAATATAAATTGATATACTATGTAAAGAATATGAAGATGTAAAGAATATGGTATATTCTAAATATATACAGTTATTTTTGTAACTGATATTATCATGTTCATTTTGATTAATTTTTCATTTTTCATTTTTCATTATTGTCGACTATGTGAATGGTTCAGTGTGTCAAATCCTTTTTTACTGAATACAATTGATTTGATCTTATTTACATTATGGGGAACAGGTCGTCAGGACGGGAGTGTCTTCAATAATAAATGAAAACGCAGAAGTGAGGAAGACGATATGCATGCATTTGTGTGGATGATTTAGTGTGCTTGTCTGTCTATTTAATTTTTCAACACAGAAATTTCCGCCATTCACTTTCGCTTCCCTTTAACATCCCATCCTGATATTCCTTCACTGTCATCAAGTTAAAGAGAGAGAAAGCATACCTTAAAAGTGTAAAAAAATATTGCTCGTCTCTATCTTCCAGGCATCAAGGCAGCAGTTATTATGACCCTGGCTTACATAGTGGAAGAAGAAAACAACCACATATTGACTTCCGATGAAAGCGTCTTCGATTTCATGATCTCTCTCCTAACCAAGGCATTGGAGAAAGACAACCACCATGAAATCTTCTGGGCTGACGAGCTGGCGGCCGGACTCGAGGCGTTGGCCAAGAATGAGGACAACAAACCCGTCATAGTCAGGAAAGGTGCTCTGCCTTTGTTGACCAAGATGCTGTCGTCGCCGGATGAGACTGAAGTCGACCCTGCAGTGAGTGCCATATGGGAGCTGTCCTTTAACAACGAGAATAAAACGGCCATAAAGGTAAAAAGTTGTGGGACAAATCTTTGGCTTTAAAGTCTTAAAATAGTGCCATAAATCCAATTAAAAAATTTACGTTGAATTGAGAAAGTGAGTGTGGGTCAAGCGTTGCTAAAAAAGACGAATAAAATAAAATAAATACAAGCAAACAAAATTGAATGAAATAAAGACTACAAATATCGGGAAAACCGTAAAACATGTAATTTGTCTGTCGTTGATTTAATCTTGTAATATTAATTTTGAATTTACTTCATTCTTATCCACAGACCGAAAATGAATGTTTAGACAGAGTGAAAGACTTGATAAAGCATCGAAACCCTGACATCGCCCAGGCGGCAGACTCCATCTTCTGGGAGTTAGATATTGACGTGGAGTCTGGTGAAGAAAAAGGTAAGTTAGACCTCTATTTATTACCTTTGCACCGCTTCACTTTCTCATCCAAGCTCTCTCTCTCTCTCATATATTTTAAAAAAAAATTCTATGTCCTCCATTTTGTCGGTTTCAAAACCATCACCACCTTATTCAGTTAAATCATCAACACGACTGTATAGTTTTATTATCTAATCATAACCATTAATAAATTCTTAATCTCATTAGGCAAAGAGCTGGACACAATAGACCAGAATCTTCCCAATGGTGCCCCGAGTCCTAAGACGTGGCCCAATTCAAAAGCAGCTCTGTGGGGTGAATCTGCCTCCGGGCAACATATTATGATCAGTTATAACTGGGATAACCAGCCCATTCTTATTAAGGTATTAAATCCACGTGATTTAGTCAAAACATTATGGTGAATGAGTATCGTGAGAGAAAAAATAATTCTGTTTACATATACTTTTCATTGAACTGCGACTGGACTGCATATGCACATTATGTAACATTTAAAAATATGTAAATTATTCTCATAATCTCTGTCAGACATAGTTAATCAACTAGAGAAAAATACTTTTAATGCCTTGGAGGCATTGATTGTATGTTATTCATTATTGTCTCCCCTCCCCTCCTCCACCAGGTTAAAGACGCGCTGGTCAGTCTTGGCTACAAAGTCTGGATGGACATTGAGCAGATGAGGGGTTCCACCTCGGACGCCATGTCGTCTGCTGTGGAGAACGCTGCCGTCGTGTTGATAGCCATGTCGCAGAAATACAAAGATAGTAAACCGTGCCGAAAAGGTAAAAACTGTTTGTTTTTTTTTATCCAAACGCTTATATTGTACTCTGTCAGAGTGAATATAATTTGATTTTAAAATAAAGATCTGATATTCAAAACGAACAATGTTTACACGTTTGCACCACAGTGTTAAACTCTTGGACTATGCTGAACTGCATAGGGCCTATATGTTTATCTGTTTCATTCATCTTTCTCTTTCTCCACGGGATATTCAAAAAAAGATATTCATATTCAGTGTATCTGAAGAAAGGTGGGCGGGTAGTGTTCTTTTTTACATAATATTTTTTGTTTGTTTTTTGCGTTGGGTAATTTTCACCATCAATTCACGTGCAATTCACTGTTTTTTCCATTGTTACTGTATTTTAAGGACCAAGTATGAAAAAATGTCTGATAACTCAAATGTATAATCTTGGGGTTCTACGTAAGATATCTTAATGCGAAACAAATTCATTCATTCTTTCATCCATTCAGAGGCAGAATACGCAGATGAACAAAACAAGGCTATCATCCCTCTGCTGGTCCAGCCGGGGTACAAACCTAACGGTTGGCTGGGACTGCTGGTGGGGAAAGCCCTGTACTACGACATCAGCGGCAAGTTCAATATCCGCAGTAAGGTCAACGACCTGGCCACCGCTCTGGGGGACCGCGGGAAGAGGAAAGGAGGGGTGCCGGCATTTCTTGTGGTGAGGTGACATCTTTCTTTTATTCATTTAACTATTTATTATGTAATTGAAAATGATACACATGTGAGTCACTTTCTGTGAACAACATTGTTTTCGCTCTAACAATATCCTTCGAAAAGTGTTGCTTACCTGTGTTGGGAAATGGTGAGAATAGAGTTATCAAATATTTGCATAACAGTGTTGTTATTTATCGACATAATACATGTATGATTATAATATTCAAGGTGAAAAAGGACTTACATGAATAAATTACAAAACCATTGTGCAAGATTTCACTCAGTGGATTCTATATATTTGGTCTGGCCAACTGATTATATAGCAACCTCTTTCATGCTGCTTTTGAAGGGATGGAAATTTTTAAATTTTGAATGAACTTCTGTTTGTTCAATATAAACGCGCCAAGAAAATGTTTAGTGGATAATTTCAACTTTCTTTAGTGTTCACGAGAGACGTTTTGTTTTGTCTCCAGGTCCCCGACCACTCGCGTACCCGTCCGTCCAGCGTCCAGGGATCAAAGAAAGCCGTGCAAGACTGGGGGAAAGAGGACGTCATAGGGTGGCTGAAATCATACGGCCTAGAAAAGTACGTGTTGGAAAATATGTCCTAAATTTACTTAGATAAAATATGATAAATTCTTGTTTGGATGATATACTGTGTATGTGTGTTTGCATGGGAGAAAGTTTAGGTTCTGATCTTTGTAACCTTGGTTTCATAAACATTGAGTGCAATTGATTTTTTAATTAGGATATTAAATAACATAGGTCCAAAATAATAACATTTGAGTCCACTTATTTAACTTTAAAAAAAAACAACACATTGAAACCACAGGTAACGTGAGGATTAGAATAAAATCTGCGTAGCCGTACATATCATTTTGTTTAATTTTACTCAAGCATATATATTGTAAAGATTATTTATCACCCGATTTCGGTATTATTTTCTTTTAGGTTGTCTCATTTGGCGTCGCTTACTGGTGAAGAAATAGGATATCTACAGGAATTAAGAATAGAGGTATAAACACTTTAGGATATCATTAATTCATCTTATGGTCAATTCCATGTATATGATAAACACGTATTTACACATATTTTGCATCGAGGGTAAATGTAGATTTTTTATTGTTACTGAATTTCTGAGTGTTTGATATAAAAAACGTCTAAATCAGTTTTTAACGTCGATGCGTGAATTTTATTCTCCCTCCTTTAAACAGGATTTTTCAAAACTTGTTCAAAATGTAATAGGTCAAACGTGAACAGCCGCAGTACTCAGCGCTGCTTAGAATGGCATCTCCCTTTGCCCATACTATACATATCAACCCCGTCTACCTTTCCATTTATAAATGATATACTGCTGTATCGTAAGTTATGTACTGTATACGTCGATAAAACGGTATGTAACCGCTAACTTCTCATATATTTCCAGGCTCCAGAATTCTTCCATAGCTATATTTTTGATCGACTGGCCATAAAACACCTCCGGGACATGAAGGCATTGTCGACTGCTTTGAAACAGCTTTAACCAGAGAAGAATTATAAACAAGTCTTCTAATTCTGCAACGTTTTGTTAAATGCTGGGGACCATTTTATATCCAATCCCTTTATTCAATGGGAACACTGTGTTGTAAATTGAAGCAGCCCACGCTGGTGGCGCCCTCGCTTGGTATAATTTGATATTACTGATCACGTGGCGTTTGGGTAACTATAAAAAATTCAATTAAAATCCGCCATCTGTTACACTAATACGGCCTATAGTGTACACGAGGTTTAATGAAATTTTAGGGAAAAAAACATGTCAAGTACACTGTATTTGTTAAGATTTTTATACAAATGTGTTTCTAGAAGTATTTTTTAAGAATGTTTTTTTATCTTATTACATACAACGCATTATAGATATTTACATGTTTGCAGTTTTCGAAAATATGTAATCCAAATATTTTATTAAACGTTAATGATTTTTGTACAAATTTTTAACAACTTTTGTATAAATATAGTTCGGCTATCACCAACTGTGCATAAAAAACTTCATATCATATTTATATTTACAAAAAGTATATGTTACATATAATATGAGGATATATAACATTTTATATTGTGTTGCTCTTGGTAAAATTTAATGACATCCCGGTACAAGAAAACATTGCGTAGAAGCAAAGGGACGTGTGGGAACCCACAGTGTGATCTCTACGTTCTGGTTTGAAATTTTTACAACATGCCACGTGCCATATACTGGTAATACAGGTGAATAATAATACTCGAAGAGATAAATAAATGGAAAATAAAAATAATGATGGTTTTTCTATAATTTCTGTCACATGTCTCAAGAACTGCAATCTAAATAGGTGGAGGTGGGGGTTATGGTTGGAAATTCTTCACCAGTTCTTTCAAGTTAAGACTCCCATTGACCGTTTGCACATGTACTTCAAGGAAGAAGGGTGTGCGTAGGGCCTGGTGTCCCCCTCGCCCCCCCCCCCCCCCCCCCCCCCCCCCAAAAAAAAAAAAAATAATAACAATAGATACTCCTTATCTCCACCAAAAAGAGAATAACAAGCAGACCAATAACAATTCAAACAAAAATTCCATTCCAGTGTTTAACATATTGCAGTAAAATTGCCCTAAGCTATAATTTATCCGTGCCGCCGCTACACCCCAGCACATTCCTGTCCCGAAAGTGCTATGAACTTGAAAGGCCTTCAAAATCTTTTCTTCCTAATTGGACAAATCAGTTTGAATCAACAAGTTTAGACGGTGTTGTTGTCCTTGGAATTCGTGGACCCTGAATCCCAACGACTCCCCTACCAAACGTAGTATTTGTCTTCCACATGATGCGGAGCGGATTATTATAGTGCTGCGAGGTCTGAAGAACTATCATATCTCTCACTCGTGAGGAAGTGTCATGATCCTCCCTTATTTTCCAATTTATTTTGAGAGAGATGAAATAGCTGTTGCATATCCATAGAAAAAGCATTAGTATTGTGCCGGACAGCAAGACAATTTCCTTCTTTTGCATTTTATACGGACGTGCTCCTTAATGGTAACACTCTTCTCAACTAACACACTGACGCGTTGCTCGTAGTCAAAAGCGTCTTCTCCAACACATTGTTCAATACAGTTAACCTTACGGATACCAAAGCGTTGCATCCGGCGAAGTATTATTAGTATCCTTCATTGCAGCACAGTTTAAGAGACACGGGTTTTCCGGTGTCAACAATCAAAGCAGAAATCAAATCTCGGCATGATCTGCTGCAGTGTCTTATACGTTTACATTACACAGTCTCTCTTGCTGCAAGCTCTTCTCGATCAACATATTGTTCGTTTCGTTTAGATGATGTCTCCATAGAAAGGTGAAAACACCTGAAATATTCGCTATGTACCAACGCTGAAGTACGATGCACGTCCATATAAATTTTTCTTTTGTCTAGTACCCTAAATGCATTGGGCGTAACTGACTGTAGGCTAGTCGTAGGCTGTAGATGCTTGTCTATCTAGATCTTTAACGGCTGATCTTCCATGTGTCAATAGGGGAATCTCTAGGGCTGTGTAATTTTTAATTCTTTGGGAATATCAGTCGATTCATAAACAAGGGAAAGCAAGCGCTCCAGGGCTCGTGAAGTGAAGTGAAGATTCTTCCCCTCCGGGAAAGGCGGTTGATGTGAGGGATTTTACCTGCTCCGTTTTAACGCTGACACCCCTGCCTAAAAGGAAAATAATCTATGAATATGCAGAAAAGATTAAGAAGTCAAATAAGAAATCCAACTTAAGATTCGCCCAATACCCTCCTCTCTCTCTCTCTCTTAACACGTTTTACCCTCTTTAAATTAAAGTTTTTTATTATTATTACTATTATTAATATTATTATTATTCTCTCTCTCTCTCTCTCTCTCTCTCTCATGTCCTCTCACATAGTATGTCATCTGTACACAGACATATGCAATAAAGCCAAAAAATAAACACAATAAGAGCTACCTGTACGGCGCACTAAGTAAATGATGTAGCGAATCTAATCTAGCAAACGAACAAGATCCTAAAATGTTTACTATCCAGTCAAGACCTTCAGAATGTCTGTTTGATTTCTCAGGTTTCAACCACTAACCGAGGCAAAGTATTTTTCTTTATTTAAAGTACTTGCAAAAAGAGTAAATAGCTTACCGACCTCGTTTCCTAAAATGCCATTGTTATAAATTGTATTAAATTGTATAGGTGTGGGTGTTGAATCTCGAAATTATATCTAGAGTACGTGGTTATTTGCGATAAACCTGGCTAACCAATATATGGAAGACACACACCATAGTGTGTTATTGGGTTTACTAGCATTCACTATGAACTCAAACCGGATTAAACAGAATTTAGATGATCCTAGAAGAAATTCTGGTTTCCGCCGCCTTACATGAGGCTTAATTTGTCTGTCATCTGTTTTCATATCTTCCTTTCCTCTCCTCTCGCCATCCATAGTTTAAGATCTCTCTCTCTCTCTCTCTCTCCAGTATAAAAACAACAAAAATACCTGTTCAGCAAGTGTCACACTTTTCCTCCATTAGTTTATTAGCACGACTCCGCTCCGCCTCCATCCCTTACTGCTGATGTAATACAAACTGCAATCTTCAGTTGTCCGTGGTTTGTGTAGCTGCCATAGCTGTATGCCAAAGACCATAGAAAGTTCGGGGGTGAAATCGTTTCAATACCGCAGTGGACTGAAGTGCACAGCACTTCTGCTTCATAAAAAGGTGTTAATATCCCTCTAATATAGCACGTTTTTAAGAATGAATCTCTTCGGGCGCGAAATGAATATTTGTGTGTCTTGTCATCACGGAGACAGTTTTGCCAAAGGCAGAATGGTTGAAAGGATTTCTATAGAAGCAGCTTGTCGGTATTTGTTCGGCAGAGCGAAACTCCACTCACTCACAGGTGACCTGACGCTGAGCTGATAACTCTTTTATCACTACAGTGGACATTATTAACACAAGGCAGTATAAACAAATCCATATCCATTGTCCAAGTCACCGTCCAACTCTGCTTAGGCCTACATGATGGTCATTGCAGCCTAAGTAAATAAGTTTAAAGACGGTCTAATAACTTTATTTACTTCTCTGATGTGTTTTGATAGAATGCATGGTTTCGTATGGCACTGATCCCCTCTCACAATAGGACACGAGTCGAAAGTTGCTTTAAGTCAGAAAATATTAGTTTAAGTTTGGTCCTGATAATTAATATTTTCCGCGTTTCGTTAGTAGCCTATAGCGGATATTGATTTGTATTCACGGTTTGTGATGAAAAAGAAGGTAGCCTACGTGGAGATGTTTGGGTGGATGATGTAATAATTAAGGTAGAGTTATGAGTAGTAGGGCCTAGTGTAATACACGACCAATGAAGATTGGCGTGGTTGGTATAAAAGGGAGGATACAAGTAGGCCCTATTATATGGTCACTTTCTAGCCTGCTTGCGGAAGGGCGGGATCATTTTTCCCAAAAATATTACATTAAATATTATTTAATTAGATCATGCCCAGTTTTCAGAGTTTTTTGTCCCATGAACTATGTGGGATAAATGGCGGGGATCGATTAAAACATATCTCTAGTGTATAGATTTAGTGCTGAATCTTCAAAATTCGAGAAATGGATTTTTACGTGTCTAGAATCCTTTAATTTTCAGTTCATAATGGTGGCCTTTTTAAATTTTATTTTATATATTTTATATAATTAATTTTTTTCCGTTAGGAGGTCGAGATTGAATATTTTGATAGGTGTTGAGGCTTCCACTATTTTACTAATACCGTTTTCGCTAAAAAAAAAAAAAGTAATTTTTACCCTCACGACACAATGCGAGTTCCCGTGACGCAATTTCCCATACGTTGCTAAGAACAAAAGCAAACAACATAACTTCCCACAATGCACTTGGTTGCTGCGAACAAATCAACATCAATCTTCCCATGGTGCATCAGGTTGCTACGAACAAAACGACAGTTGAGCGGGAAGAAAAGAAGAAATAGGTAGGAATATGAATCGCTCTCGATGTATTGAATCTTTTCATAGACTATAGGATTGCATGTGACATCACGTATCTGTGAAAGTTAAATTTGTAGCGTGTGATTATTCATTTGATGCATAGAATTATACAAATTTAAATTTCAGCGTTTTAAAAAAGCTTGAGATATTGCATATGGACAGAATTGTAGAATCTTAACGTTTGAAAGTTGTGCTCAGAGTTCATATTAGTTTATTCAATTGCAACCCGAAGATTGAAGTTGTACAAGTTGTGTGATATACATGTCAGAATCACCAGTATTGTTACCTCTCCTACCCAGTAAATTTGCTAACAGTGCGTGTGACTTATTTGCTGGACGAGCAGAAAGATAATATTATTTGTTGTCCACATCAAACTTATTTCTACACATTTTACTTATTTTCAGGACCTGATTTTTTTTATAAAAGCCAAGATGAAGTACTTGGCTTTGTCATTACTTGCTGCTTTTATTTGCACATCTGCAGCACTTGAGGTATGGACAAATGCTGTTTTTCTTGTTTAAATGGGGTAACAACTTAAAATTGTTTAAAAGAATAATGATAAGGAAATGAACCATTGCTTGTTCCTTAATGGCATTTAAGGGAGAGGATTTTTTTTTTAACTGTTATGCTTATTTTGAGATTGCGTTACAAAATTAAAAGATTTTCCTTCTTTTCTCTCGCAGTGTTATGTTGGTGAAGCTGAGTATGGTAATATGCCCTTAACAAGGAAATGCCCGACAAGTGCAGACGCCTGTGCTGGATGGTATGACAGAGCAGCTAACAATGAGACAGACCCCACTACTACATCTTATTATGCATGTGTCACATTGGGTGATACTCCTGAGTGTGTCCTTGATCTTCCATGCCTGACGGTAAGGTTTATGTCAATCAAACCACAGAAATTTCTTCCACATGATTCTCTTTTATTTCAACCCTTATTCCACATGATTCTCTTTTATTCCAACCCTTATTCAGCGATCATTTTTATTTAATGACCTTTTTAGTTTAAAGGGCTAGCGACCCAAAAATGAAAAAGGGCTTTGGTCCCAAAAATGAATTTTCCTGGGGTAAATGACAATTTTCCCATACTTGCCAAAGGTTTATGAATCCGTTCTTTTTTTAAAGTTTGGTTTCAGAATACAGCCATCTAATGGCATGCAAAGATTAGATATGAATTTTTCAGCTACAAAAGTTTTATCTGATATATTTAATAAGGACAAAATTTTAAGTTAACCAAATAAAAATATGTTGAATTGTGAAGCATCTATCTAATTGGATTTATCGTGGCCTTTAGCCTGCGTCTAGGTGTAGAATGCTGTCTTGTATTACAAAGCACTTGATGATTTCACTTTTAGGTCAGTAACACCAGCACTTACTACTGCTGCCAGACAGACTCTTGCAACAAAATTGTCCAGCTTGACACTGGCAATATTCCAGGCACCAGCAGGAGGAGGGTAGGTTTGTCTGAAATTTGTATACATTACCTTTTCAGAATTAATGGGGAGTTTTTAAGGTTATTATGGTAGTTAGTGTTACATATAGCACACCACAGACAACAGCTGTTCTTTGTTCAAATTTCAGTAAGTTAACCAGGATTTTTGTTCATAACTATTTTCTTCTGTCTTTCGTCTGTCTTTAGTTATATATATATTTAAGTGTGGAATGATTTTTTTTTTTTAATTAAGATGTTTGTGATTTCCCTTTTCACCTGAGGCCAATATAAACTTGGCAAGTCTCACCTCAATTCTTCATGTAACTGCACATCTTCAAAGTATTAAAAAAAAACTATTTCCAGTGTTATGTTGGCTCTAATGACTATGGTCTGCCCAGGGCCACCAACTGCCCAGAAGATCAGCGTAAATGCGCCTTCTATAAAGACGAGTCCACCAATGTGATCCATTGGACATGTGTGGCAGCCGGAGAATCAAAATGCAATTCCACTACTATTGCTCCAACTGTGAGTAAACCAATAAAAAGTCACATGCCATAATACACAAATTCCAATGTTTTAAAGCACACAGTATTTTTTCCTTCTTTTGTGAAGGGTTATTTTTATAAAGCAATCTGCATAGGATTACGACACACTGCAAATTAATAATGAACGTTAGTAGTTTTTAAAACCAATTAAAGTATTGGGGGGGGGGGAGAACATAGTGATTTTTTATTATTATTTTAATCTGCTTTAGTTGTAAGTTTTCACCAAAGGCATTTACATGCTCAGTGTTTAATGCAAAACAGCTTTATTTCTGTGTTTTATTCCCCCATAGGATACCAGCAGCGGTGCCTACCTATGCTGTGACACTAATCACTGTAACCCAGCCACTTTGATGCCTACCCCAGCTCCTACACAAGCACCTACCCAAGCACCTACCCAAGCACCCACGGTGAGTGAATCCTGAAAGAAAATATACAACCTTTGGTGAATGAGTCTGTCAAGGCACTTGCCATATCAAAGTTTGTTCTTACAGCATGTGAAGCTTACTGTGAACCCTACAATTTTCACTACCAATTTATTATTATTTATTTATTTATTTTTTTTTTTTTTGTGCCAATCACTTTGTTTTTTCATGAAATAACACCACTTCACAAAATGTGCACACTGCATGTTTCACAGCGCTGGATGTATTATTTTTCCTTTGATTTTCTGGGTATTTAAAAATTTCATATTAGTATTAAATAAGTATTTTCATTTGTGAACGATGTTGTAGTATTAAAATGCAAATCAGATTTTCTGTCTAAAACATACTCAAATATTTTCATGCAGTGAATGCGAGTAATATTTTGTATGAACTTGTATTCTTACAGGCTGGGAGTGAGGCTGAGGGCGAAGCTGAGGGTGGAGGTGGAGGTGGGACAACGGCAGTGGCAGAGTCAGCGGCTGCTCTCGCCCATCCAGTGATACTCCTGGTGCAGGCAGCACTGGCCATGGCAGTATCCGTCACCCTACTATAAAACACTCCTTGAACAGATTGAAAACACTTGATTGGCTTGGCTGATTATGATCTTAACCTTTCGACCTTCCCTCGGAGTTTAAGTGAAGCTAACTGACAAGTTGAATTGGGCGTTTTCTCTGTTTTGCAAATAAATGACAGCATGAGTAAAACTGACAAAATTATCATTAAATTATTTCTTCAAAATTTCATCCCTTCCTGAGGAGTGCAGTGAATTTCAAGATGGACAGATTGCCTGAGCAGAATTGATGTGCCTTTTTTATAATCCACCAGTAAATTGTGTAATATGACCTAGGTAGAAACAGCAAGGCCGGGTGGTAAAGGGCTATGATATATATGTTCTGCGCAGTGTTCAACTGAAATGATGTGCTCAAATGTTGAAAAAAAAAAGAAGAAAAACTATACACTAAATGGTAAATTCAAGGAGTGATGACACTGGTTATAGTCTTCTGTAACGGTTGATAGCACCATGATTTTACCGTAAAGTTTGAGGTTAATTATTGGAGTAAAAAAAAAGTAACAATATTTTACATGAAGCTAATAAAATTCAATCCAACAATTTGATCTTGTTAATTGATGCTGGGCAAATATGTGTGAACAGTGTGATAAACAAATTATAACAAAGGGTGTAATAATTAAAGTACTGTATTCTCACAAAGAAAAAATATTTAAGAGAAACAGAAGGAAATTAAGAGTTCTAACCAATTGTTCAGTTTAGGGAAAGAAAATAAGTTTTGGTGTGACAGTAACATGTGCGATAGGACTGAGGTGGAGAAGTTCTTGGGATATGGAGGCAAGCACTGTCCGTCTACTTACGTATAATAACTGTACATAATAATAATGTCGATAATAACTGTACATTCTGTGACATTAAAGTGACGCATTGTTTTGCAATGAATCATTATTTTTTACAAATGTGCGTCAATTATAGGCCTAGACATTTGCATCACCAAACACTGAGTAGGCCTACTTTGATTACCCTGACTCACTGAGTACTATTCATTTCACGAAAAACTGCCATATGAATGCGAATTCACAAGCCACGGGAATGGGGTGCTTCGCGGATTAAAAATATGATCGTTTCAGTGGCGTCTTGTTGAAAAGTCTATAAATGTTGTCCTTTTTGACCTTTGACCTATGATATCATCTTGTTTTGTTGCTACGAACGAATAGCAATCCCACAATGCACACGGTTACTACAAACAAATCAACACCATCGCCCCCAGAATGCATCTGGTTGCTACGAACAAAACGGCAGTTGAGCGGGAAGGATTGAAGAGAGAACAGGTAGATATCGTTTCCCTTTTTTTTAAACAGTCGTTGTGATGATAAATAAGAGGATAACATTTCCGTAATAGATTTCAAGTTGAAACAAATATATCAGCATTCAATATTTTAGGACATGATTCTCTAAACGGATAAAAACAAAGAAAATATCATTTTCAAATACAGTTTCAAGACTGAATTTCAAAGATGGGTCATGAGACTATAAAACAATTCTCAGTTTTAACATTTAATGACTGGAAAATGCTGAATACTTTTCTAAATAAAAATGTAAAATGGATTTATTAAATCATTAAAATGGAATTTTTAGTGAAACCATTTCAACGTCTTCTGTTTGAAGATTGTCTGTGGAAGGGTCTGAATGTTATGCTTCATAGGTTAATAAATATATTTAAATAAATAAAATTGTTTAAAATCTTTAGTTACTCTCTACCTTTTTGTCACATATCTCGTGTTCCAGATTTTAGAGTTCGCCAAGATGAAGTACTTGGCATTGATTTTGATTGTTGCATTCATTGGCACATCATCTGCTCTTGAAGTAAGTTGATCATCAATTCATTTAACTTATTGTTTACAAAAATGTCATTTATATTTAGATTCAGGAAATGTCTATGAATTATGAAACATGTAAGACTTTTGATCTCACAAACAACTGAAAAATTTGCAGTATGAACATTGCAGGATATTGTTTCGTATTCCCCCTTTTAAGGTATTCTTCACTTTTACATCTTTTAATAATTTTATTTTGTTTTTATTAAACTGATTTTGTACATATTACAATTTTAATTTAGAAATATTATGGATATCAATTTACTTTTCCCTTTACAACAGTGCTATGTTGGTAGGGCAATGTATGGCACCATGCCCTTTACAAGGAGATGCCCAGCAAGTGCAGACGCCTGTGCTGCATGGTATGACAGAGCAGCTAACAATGTGACAGACCCCACTACTACATCTTTTCATGAATGTGTCACGTTGGCTGATACTCCTGAGTGTGTCCTTGATCTTTCATGCCTGACGGTAAGTTACCTTAAGTTCCCAAAGATTTGCAAATTTGTATCCTGTACTATATCTAGCATCAAGTTGGTTGTTCTGATGAGGAAAAAATGCCATATGGAGTGTCCTGAACCAGTTAACTGATTGAAAATGATAAAAATGACTTTGATCAGATCATGGTTTTGATTTTTCTGTAAAAATATCATCATGCTGCATGCATTTCCTCTATATATCCCCCCCCCCCCTTACAGCCCACACATACAAACCAAAGGGCCATAATCTAAAATCACATTTTGCCTATTCATGTCAGATGTGCAAGAAAGCAGGACCCAGATTCATGAACACTGGATAGCTCTATCCATATCCATTAGATAAAATTGTTATCCTCTGGACAATTATCCTGTGAGCATTAAACAGCCTTTTTTTTTTTTAAATCTCTGATCCGCCCTTTTTTTTTCTTTTTTTTTTTTTTTTAGGGGGTCCAAATTAAGTGATCCCAGACAATGGTAATATAGCCACCAGTCCATTTCTTTTTTTTTCTTACAACCAAAGATCATGTCTGATTAAAGACAGTGTAATTTTTTTCATTTTTTTTTTTTTTTGCCTTTGCCAGGTCAGTAACACCAGCACTTACTACTGCTGCCAGACAGACTCTTGCAACAAAATTGTCCAGCTTGACACTGGCAATATGCCAGGCACCAGCAGGAGGAGGGTAGGTTTGGAGCTGTAATTGGCTTTAATCAGTATCATTCCTAGTTAATTTTCATCTCTAGTGATTTTGATATAATTCCAATTTATAGAATATTTGATATAAACAATATTGGCATCTTCTACAGAATTCCCGTAATACTTCTGATTGTTCCATCTTTTGTAATGTCCTCATTTTCATGTGTCATGATCATTATTTAGATGACTAAGTTACACATCATACATCTTGACTGTTGAGTAATTCCTGTTTTTCTACTGCTAAGTGCTATGTGGGCTCCAGTGACTACGGTCTACCCAGACCCACAAACTGTGCCGAGAGCAAGCGGACCTGTGCCATCTACAAAGACCAGACCACCAACGTGGTCCACTGGACTTGTGTGGCCAATAATGATGGCAAATGCAATTCCACTGCTATTGTTGTCTCAGTAAGTACTGAATATGATGAGGAGTTTTATTGTCCCTTTCGTGTAGTTTATTTTTCATTTTTATTTTTTAATTTAAATTATATATATATATATGGTAATTTTTAAAAATATATTTAAGGTAGATAATACTTATTGAGTCAGATGACATACATACAGTGTATATATGTACACATGTATGTAGAATAGTTACTTCTGTGCTACAGAATACAAGAATTGTATTGACATACAGTTAAACAAATTAATTAAAAAATAACATTTTAAAATGCCATAGAACATACTCTTCACCTTGTACTTGTGTTCAAAGTTTGTCTTTAAACATACTAGTAATACTTGCATTTCAAAACCTTACTCTTGGATTGTTTGTCTATTTAGGCTACCACTAATAGTGAATACCTTTGCTGCGGCACCAATCACTGCAATGTGGCCAGCCTAGGATTCACAGTAAGTATGAAGAATGATCAGTTTTCCATCGTTATCTTTTATATTTATTTGCATAGGAAGTATGCTAAGCACCTTGTATTTATAGTTGTGTGTTAGACAAAAGTGAACAAAGTTAAGCAAAAAACAAAATTTGTTACACTATCAGATCCTAATCTGCTTCCAAAATGCATACTAGAATTTAGTGTCATTGACTTTCATCCACAGTATACCTGCCACCATTGGTAAATGTAGTGCAATGTGGATAACATAATTCTTTATTTATCATAGGTGTTAGCAGGCCCATTAACAAGTAATACTACTAATACCACAGCCGGGCCTGAGGGTGAGGCTGAGGGCGAAGCTGAGGGTGGAGTTGGGACAACGGCAGTGGCAAAGTCAGCGGCTGCTCTCTCCCATCCAGTGATACTCCTGGTGCAGGCAGCACTGGCCATGGCAGTATCCGTCGCCCTACTATAAAAAACTCCGTGAACAGATTGAAAACACTTGATTGACTTGGCTGATTATGACCTTAAGCTTTCGACCTTCCCTCGGAGTTTAAGTGAAGCTTACTGACAAGTTGAATTGGGCGTTTTCTCTGTTTTGCAAATAAATGACAGCATGAATAAAACAGAAAATTATCATTAAATTATTTCTTCAAAATTTCATCCCTTCCTGAGGAGTGCAGTGAATTTCAAGATGGACAGATTGCCTGAGCAGAATTGATGTGCCTTTTGTATCAAAGGAAACAGAAAATTGATTATAAGAACTTGTGCAAATCTGGATACTCTTGGGTATATGATATATTTGTTTAGAGCAATGTTCAGTTAAAGCCTTTTTAGATAAATTGAATGTGGAAATAAGAACATTAACATCAATGTCATCACATTTTGTTTGGTAAAGGAGAACATTGCAGTGCAAAATTGATGGGCCTGAGGTATCAGAATTCTAAATTTGGTAATTTGTTACTAGACAGTTTAGATACCACCAAGAGAAAAAAAGATACATTTGGTGTATGATATGTTTGTTCAGTGCATTGTTCAATTGAAATGATGTTCTCGAAAAAAAAAAAGTTCAATATGTAAAACATGTTTGATATTCTGGAGTTATGACACATGTTCTACTGACACTAGAGCTGTTGAAATCTCCAAGATTTGTCAACAGAAATTGTACCTTTCTCTCTGGCTGAAATCTCCAATAAAATATGTCACTGGAAATTTGCCTCTTTTTCTTTGAATCAGTTAGAAAGTGGGAAGTTGGATGACAAATATTTAAAATACAGCATATATCAAGGTTATAACTAACCATTTCATACCTGACTGAATCATCTTTATTATTATTTATAGCCATATTTTATTTTCAATTCTGAAAAACTGATTAAAATGACAATACAAAGCTTTAAGCCACTTTGACATCAGACAAAAATGACAACTTATCTGACTGTATACGTAGCAAAAAAGAAATGATGCCTCATTGGTCACCTTAAAAAGCTTCTCTGTTTCAAAGAAACTGGATATATCTTCTGTACATTTTACAATCTGATAAACTACATACTAGAGTAAAAAGAATGTATTTCTTCAAAAACATACAAAAATTACTCTATCTACAAGCAATATAGTATGCAGACAATTTAACATTTGAGCATTGCATGTTTTAAATAACTGCAGATTTTGAAAAAGTCAAAATATTCATTTAAAGGGTTTAATTTATCAAAACTGAAATTAAACTGCAAAATATGATTGCACTGTCAATTTTAAAGTATATACACACTGAATAAATAATAATGATAATCCCAATAAGGGTGAACTGTATTGCACAAGCATAGTAAATTAAACAACCAAGCACACTTGTTCAATACATGTAGGTGTATCAACAAAATTAAATATGCATCAAAATTAAGCACTTCTTTCACAAAACAAATTCACATATAGTCCAAATCAAGTTTCTGTTGGAGATCCAATGCTTCTTGACTATTGCAACCAATTTTGACTGCATTTTTAAAATAACATGCACACCACAATTTGGCCCACCACCCAAACTTCAAAGACATCATTTCTATTTTATTAAATTCTTTTTCTTGAAATGTCTTTGTTTATTGTCTGTACATGTGTCACCTTTAATGTCTAGTTTATTTTTGATGTCCACCACTCTGACTTTCTATGAATCAAAAGGTGTATTACAACACACTCCCTGAATACATTTTTGAATATATTGTTCATTCTGTTTTTGGTATTAAAAGCCCCTGTGATTTTTTTTTTAATACAGGTGCTCGAATTTTCACAACAATGCATATTTGAGTCATAATGCTAACCAATCCCAACACACTTTCATAAGATTAAAAATAAATTCCAAACTTTGTTTGTAAGTTTACTGTAATAACTTTCACTTGATTTAGTACAATTCTCACACTAACATGTATCTGACCTACCTTGGAAACATAAGAAAAATGCATGTACATCAAAGAGCAGAATTTTTATCTACACTGATTGCAATTGCCCAGCATTTGCATTTCTCTTATTCAATTATGACTTTTAAAATGAAATAAAAAGAAAATATTCCTCAAATGAAAATTATAGTAAACTGAAATCTGAGGATAAAAAATATATTTGTTTGGTCAATGCATTAACCCAAACTAAAAAAAGAATAAATTAATATACCGTATATATTCCATCAACCAAAACCACTGCTTGAATTTGCAATAAATGTAATTCTGAAATTCAAAAAAGACATAAACAAATGAGTACTGGCTGACTTAATATAGGTTGCCTTGACAATGACAAGTAAAAGCATCTCAAAAATGTAACGATCGTACCCTGCTTCGCACCATCTTGTCAGCAAAAACTGTATTGCACAACCTTAATACTGATATCAAACTGTTCAGAGATTGGGCAAAATCTTAAAAAATACAAAGAAAACAAAATAAAATATGTCTACTGTTCTGACTGGTAAAAAATAAGCAAAACTTGTAAAAAAAAGTCAGTGTCAGTTATGATGACACCTTTGGATTTATATCAATATAATAATATGGATTGCACTAATCTTGAAAGCAAAATTATTTTGATGCATTACCTCTTAAAAATGTACAGGGGCAAAAAAATTAATATCATTGCACAATAATAGCAACCATTAAGACTAACATGTAAAATGTGTTAGGCATAGCACTCCATTGGCCTTGGTTTTTACCACACATGCCATGAATCTTAATAAATAAATTAACACATTTATAATACATCAGGATATTAAAGCAGCAAGCCATAATATTCAGTATATACCAAAGAATGGCCACCATAAAGTTCACATGAATTATCATATAAATATTTGTAATAGCACAAGTCAAATAAAATTTATGAAGAAAAAAATATTGTACTTAATTATGATTAATGATATTTAAACATTGGAGTAATTTTTGGAGACACTTTTCCTTTAAATATGAATAAATCCTGGGAAATTTACACTTTCAATGTGGCAGCATCAGAATCATGAAATGTGCAGTTAAAAAAAGAATTACAATGCTGTATATGTCCATGAATTGTCTTTTCCTCATGCACTTTGGAATACAGTAAAACACTCCATTTACTTCTTCTATGTAACTGAAACCTCTTTTCAAGAAAGCATGTTGCAGCTGCTATATCATCATTTCCATGGCTACAATTTTTACAATCTGTATTCAGAAATGCAAACATCACTTTTTGCAAATTCATAACATATACGAAAATTATTTACCATATATAGCTTTGATATATCCAAAAACAAGTACTACGTAGGCACTAGAAGCTTCTTTGGCATTTCATATGTCACCTTAGTCTCCAATGTCATTGTGCCAAACTATCATTTGCACGGATTCGCCCTCCATCTTCAACAATTAAGTTGGCCTTCAAAAATAACCTTGTCCTTCACCAACGACCTTAACCTTTACAATGTGTAAATGTGGCCAGCTGTATGAAAGCGAAAGTTCTTTTTGTGCGAATCCAGAAAACTCTGCCAAGTTACATGAAGAACTGCTGCCCAGTGACTCTTCTCCATTTTCAAATCCTTTTGGAGAATCCCCCGTTCAGTCTTTGGTATGTAGCTATATAGTCAGTAATACTGTCTTTTATGGTAGCATACAATACAACTCTGACTAAAAAACTGTTCAGGTTTTTGAGGAGCACAAGACTTCTAGCAGTGCACATTCCATTTGAATTTGGCCAATAGAAAAGTCATTTTGTCATTTTTTTCTGAATCTCTTGTGATACAGGAACTTCCTTGATAAATCTAGCTACTGGCTCCATGTCTTCATGTGTTGACTTATCCTTCCTTTAAGACCTTAAATCCCATTTGTATATCTCTACATTGGAAAGTGTTAGGCATGTTTTGCCACAATGAGGAAATTAGGAAGTGGATTTAAACATCTGGCACTGAATGCTGTGAAAATAATCACATGCAAATTTAACATCTCATCAGTTTCAGTCGAGAAGCTAAGGCAGTCAAGCAGATTGTTGTCTACTGTATCAGCTTTCTGAAACTTCTAAACAGCCATAATCTTCTCCTAGAACTGGAAAAGTAATGGGCACATGCTGCAAATATAATTACTCAGAACGTATTTCTTACCACAAGAATCAGATTCAACAGACTGCCAGTTGTCTGAATGTATGATTGCCATTCATGTCCCAATACCTAAGTTGTATCTTAGTTTTGAAACTGAGAAGTAAATTGTATCCTTGGATAAACTGTTTCTTGGGTTGCCAGATACTTATAACAGTCATTTTATTTCTAGTATCTTCAGTGGATCTAGTCTGTTAATAGACACTGTTACTTGGCAACTGTTCTAAGGCCTCAAACAACCAGAACAGGAATTCTTTGCTTTCTATCAAACCACAATAGTAACAACCACTGTGACATTATCTTGTATCCATGGATACTATAGGTTGCTAGGCATAAAGCTTGTGTTCTTAGTTACAGTTGCTATGCTCTGTTTCTGGGTGTTAAACCACAGTAAAATCTTCTGTGTATCCTTGGATATAGTGCTTGTCTTGGCTCTCAGGGACATCCACCAGGAGGCTACCAGAAAGGTCACTGTTGCTCACAGTGCGGTAGATTCTAAAACAAGAATTCATTCAATTTTTTTTTATTGTGGCACAATATATTAATAAACTAGTATGGAATCATTAATATGGAAGTCCTACTTAAAGGGGGAAAAAACTTTTATTTTCCTTGTACAGAAACAATTAATAATTTAAAAAGGAAAAGATGGTTATATAAATGTCTTCAGTAACACATCCACTTTATCTTTTACAAAATTTCATGAATTACTTGTCAATCAATTCCAGTTGACCTGTTAATTGGGTCATTATCTTAATGCTCCATGTTTTATCTTCCCATTCCAGACACACCTACCCCTGTCCTCTACGTATCTCACCTGTCAATCTCTTCCCATCTTACCTGTCAATCAATCCAACTTCCTCCTCCTCCTGAGGGCTGGCCAGGGCAGGTTTGGCCAATGACATCATCAGGGGGCGGTTCTCGTCTGTCCCTGGTGTGTCTGGTGTCACCTCATACTTGGCAACTGGGGTGTAACGCCGACCTTCAAAATAATGGTAAAAAATGGAAATGGTAAAAAGATTAACTTTTGTTATGTGACTAAACTGCAAAAAAAATTCTTGACTTAAATATTTTCAGGGTGCTTTATATATGATTGCTTTCTATTTATGTATTATTAGAAGACAATTTGCATGCACCATAATTAGAACGCATGTGCACAGTCACATACACACACATAATATGATTACAACGTTACACAACTTACTTCTCCTTCGAACATAGTAAGGGTTTGACTCAGATTCTGTGTAGGGGTAGGAAAGATATCCCTCTGAAGGGCTGGAAGGCCTGTGGTGCCCTCTATCATCGAAGGCATAAGTTATTTCCTCACTGTTTGTAGTACTTGTACTGCTAGGGCGAATAGGCCTAAAGAAGACAGATGTATATCAAATGTCATAAGGTGGATATCCACACGTGATAAGCAGGGTTCTACTGCTGTTACAGTGGCACAGTCTCAAATATACAGGAAGAGTGACATAACAAAAATAACTGACAGCATACTAAATGATACCTTCTCAAAAGTTGGCATTGTTCGAAAAACACTGCAATTTCAATATAAACTTACACTGGGGCTCCTCTTGGTTGTCGCATGACTTTTTTACTCAGGACGTGACCCCTACTCCTGCGTCGTCTGTGAGGACTCTTTTTACGTCGTGGTAGAGGGTCGTAGTCGGTTGTGTCACTGGAGAGATCCAGCTGGGAAGGCCTCCGCACTCTGTTTTCTGTGGGCAGAATAACACATATGATAAGGGGAATGACATTCATAATTGTACCTTTACAGCAAGTCTTGACATTATGGTACATTAAATGTAAATCATCACCCAAAATCTAAACATACATCTTTAGATATACAATTAACTGATACAGGCATGATATTTTTCAAGATGAAGTTAAAATTTCACCATTGATCTTGGCAATTAGGTCGTCTCGATTCTGATTTTTCTTTTAAAATAGCTTGCATGTACTAGTAGATCCAAAATAAATAAATTAACATTTTTAAATAACCTTTACACTTACGTTCATACAAAGGCACTTCACAAGCTGCCTGTCTCCGCTCGTCCGGCCTCGGTGGAGACTGCGTAAACTGCCGTATACCCGGCTCAGTCACTGTGGTATCTGAACTATTATCAGTGGGCTGGGGGGTGCCAATGCTGTCCTCTTTCTGGTTTTCAGAGTCTGGAGGAGTCACTGTGCTCGGGAAACCGTTGTGGAATGCTAGCATCAACTCATCATGGTTGGAGGAAACGGTGGTGACGCTGGATATGGCACTGTTTCTTTGGCCAGCTGAAATAAGTGACAATCAAAATTTATCATTATGCATAATAAAAGAAATAAATAAAAATATTTTAATTTTTTTCAGTCAAAAATTATAATACTTTAAAAAAGTTGCATGCATGAAAATGAGATGCAGTCACCATAGAAATGCTAAGAGGGAAGCAGATTCTAAAACCCCATATTCCAAATACTGTATGTAAACTGCATAACTGACACCTTTGGAACAGAGAATTTATTTATGCAAAGATTTGAGGTATATCATAATTTCCACATATTACACTTAGAGATAATGGTGGTTTAGTAACTATAAGTCAAAATACTTATGCTTTTATTGACCAAGTTACATGTAAAATCTATCCAGCAGGACTCTTTGTTTAAAACAAGACATTTGATTATGATATTGTCTATTTGGTTGTTCATGATTCCAAGGAAAATAAAATAATAATTAAATAAATAATATAATATAATAATTAGAACTAATGCTATCTTGGTTGGCTGTCCTATCCTTCATACCTTTTTCACAAATAGACGACATTTGTGACGGTGGTCTAGAGTTGGAAGGGATGCTGTATGTCTGATGGTGGTGGGGTGGCGGCCCTGGTTTACCATTTCTCCCCGTAAACAAGGCATGTATGGCATCTGCACTGGCAAACTTTCGTGGACTTAGACCCACTCCCGTGGCTAAGTGAGAAGAAAGAGAGGAAAATGTATGGAACAAAGTCACTTCAATCAAAAGAGATTCTTTAAAAAGAATGCAGCAAATGTAGCTTTTAAGATCACTGTAACATGGCATTTTAGTTTGACACTTGTGGCTTGCATCCTTTAGGGAATCAATTTATTCATTTTCAAACAGATCATAAGGGAAAATCATTTTTTAATATCATGGCAATAAAACTTTATTCAATATAACATAGTACATTATACTGATCACTATTAGCCAGATGCTAAATATTTTAACTTTTTTTAAACAAAAATCCAAATACTGTACAAATATATTTTCAACCTTATCAGCCATTAAAACATTTTCATATGCCGAAATTTCAAATGCATATTCAAGAGCTATTTTTTTGATAAATTACTTCAATTTGCTTACCTTGCCTGTATTTAGGATGACTCAGCAAATTTACCTCTGGTAATACGTTAGTGGCAGTGCTAATGGGAGGGGGAGGCGGAGGCAGCGCAAATGGAAACTTCTCCGCAAACTAGTGATAAATGATAACAACATGAAACAGTTATAAACAGCATACAGAGCCCAGTTTAAATATGTACAAATTAACCTAAAGAGATGAAATTTTCAAATGATTTCATCAATAAATTGGTTTTTATTCCTTTCTTCTCTGGCAAACCCAGACTTCTCTACTATACTGCTGAATTCAAACTAGCCTGTTTCCGCACTTCTGAATTTGCAAACACAATGAAGTCTTGTGAGCCTGGTTTTTTCCCCAATATACATACGATATGGCAGTCTGCATTTCCCAACCGAAATGTGCCATACCTTTCTCTGAGCCTCTGTCTTCTCTAACGCAACTAGATCTTGTGAGCCATGCTGTGGCGTGTGTTTGTGTTTTGTAAAAGTCTGGAGCAGTGGAGTCCTGATTGGTTGTAAAGGTGGCGTAGGTCCTCCTGGTTTTGGGTAGCAGAATGTGGCGTACGGGTTGATAAAACCATCTGAGTCAACTGTCAAAATCAAATCTTTATTTTAGTAAAATTACAAAGTACAAATAGGGTTTAGAAAGTTTAAAAAATAAAAACAATGACAGCTCATTTTACACATCTTTGTCACTTTTACCACACTTCATTTCTTATTCATTTAAGTAAATATAAAGTATGTACATGCATGTACATGTAGTCTGATAATGGTACATGTAACATGCATAATTAAAGATATCTTAGTTTTATCAATAATGGTTCCCAAAGTATTAAAACAAAGAATGTCAAAATAAATAAAAGCACATTATCCAAAAAATATAACCTATTCCATAAAAAAAAAACTACTAAAAAAAATAATGAGAACTCCTTACTACCTGAACCAGCCATTTCCTGCTGTGTATTCTGGGCATTCTCCTGATTGGTCCAGTCTGTGTTTGGCCCCGGCAACTCCTCATTTGATTGGTCCATGATGAGAAGATTGACATTTCTCAGGTGCACTGGCTCTGGGGTATACCCCAAGGAGTTGGAGCTGTCAGAATCTTTATCGAAACGTTTGTCAAGGTCGGTCATTAGAGATGTCTCAGCTGTTATGTCCCTTCTCAAATTTGACTTGGCTTCTGTTATAACAAAGATCAAGGCCAGTTAAAAGGAAGAAAAATGCTGGTCACAATGTTTTATTATTTTTTTTTTATTTTTTTTTAATTCAAAAGCTTTTATTTCAAAATATCTAATATATTAACCTTTAGCTAGTTTTAATTTTACTATAATTGTAAAGTTTTTATCCAATAATATCCAATATAATAACCTTCAGAGGGCCTTGTGAAAAATAACTTTCACTTGACGTTTTGTCCTCTTCAAACAAAAGGAAAAAAAATTGAAGTAAAAATTGCTTGTCTTTAAGATAATTTATAGTTTACTTAGCCTAAAACAAGTTGCCTTCCCTACCTTTCCATCTCATGGCCTCATGGCGTCTCTTGCAGTACAGAGCGGTACCCAGAGATATGGTGATGACGAGGACGAGGGCCAAGCTTAGCGGCACCATGACATGAATCTTCTGGTAGAACTCTGGCTCGTACTTGTGGGTAATCATTATAGGGGTGATGGTGCCTGAGATGACAATTTTAATAAATAAATAGATTTATAAATAAATAAATGAAAATGTTGCATTGTTAAAAGTGTTTGAATGTAACAATGTCATAATATATACCAGTTATAACTTGCAACTAAATTTCTGACCTGAGGATTATAATTTAATCTGGCTTAAACATTTTCCAAAATTGTCACAATCTTGATTTCAATAATATCAAAAACATATCTGTTTCACTGAAATAAAGAAGGGTTTTATTCCAAAGCAAACTGGTTACTTTCACCTAGTGATTCTATGTACATTCCATGCAATGGTTATTTTGTACTAACATTCCTCTAGATCTTATACGCAAAAATAATGAAATAAAAAAGATAAAAATTAGTGTGCAAATCAAAACCTATGGGCTGGTTTACATGCAAATGAATATTTGTACATTAGTATATACATTCTGTACTAGAGACGGTGTATTATTGTGTATTATGTGTACCACTGTGTCAGATTTCAAGGCCCAGATCTAAAAGCATGCCCTTCTGAAGTGAAACATTCTCATCAAATAAATCAAATAAGTTCTAACTATGATCTACAGGACTTGTTTCCTTTTTCAGACACATATACATATATCTAAAATAAAGATGTTAAATTACATATCAGGTTCATTCTGATTCATTCCAGTCAAGTTCTAAAAGACTGCAACCCATATATAAAAGATAAATATCAACGAGAAACAATAAAAGTTTGCCATTCCATGGACACATTGCGATGCATGCAATTTGTCAATAAAATCTGATTAAGGAACTCACTTGACAGTGAAAAATCCATAGGAAGAGAGTCAGGGAGTTTTTCTACAACAACAACATCAGAAACATTACGTTAACAGCTTTGACAACATGAATACAAAAAGATGAGACATCATTTAACAGCACCTGTACACTGTACAACAAAGACTGTAAAATATAATAATAATAATAATAATGAAAATTATGATGAAGATCAAGGTAAAAAATTAACAGATTGAGACAAAAAAGTACACACCACAACATGACACACGTCACAAAGAATAACATGATACATTTACATCTGACCACACCTGACAACAAGACTAAACAGGTAACAATCCCATGTCAACAATATGTATACCAATCCAGGAAAACCCGTAATTCCCCATAATTCATTCACACAAGGAAATCAATATGAAGACATATTTGCCACACCTTAAACAGTACTAAAATATATCAACTTACCTCCGGTATAAGTCAGAGTAGCAAACTTCAGGACAGATTCTGTGGAACCAGCATCACTGTTAGCTATGACCTTCATGATGTACCATGTGGCAGGGTGTAGATCTTCCACTAGGTGGCTCTCCTGGGGACAGAAATAATCAACAAAATAATATGGGATGTCCAATAAAGTAACTGAAATATAATAATGTCTGTCTCGTTAAAAAGACAAGAAATTGTTGTGTAAAGAGAGAGAGAGAGAGAGTCAGAGAATATTTTGATTGTTCAGAATAAAAACAAATATTCCAAAAAAGAAAGATATCAGGGGTCAAAGGTTACAGGTCAAGGTCACCAACCTCAAGGTCAGTCCTGGTCACTGGTATTGTGGCCCAGTTACTATCCCCCCACACCTGATACTTGACTGTGAAGGAGGTGATGGGACACTTGTCTGTCTGCCAGGAGTTTAAATTCAGTGTGATGAAAGTAGAGTTGATATGCTCCAATAGCATACTCTGTGGTGGCATGATGGGGGCAGAACCATTGGTTTTTGTGGTGATGATGTTGCTGAGGTCTCCCAAGCCAATACTGGAAATGAAACAAAGGGTACAGTGAAATAAGGGACTGCTGATCAATTTATTTCAAAAAGAGTCAAATGTTGTCTAAATAATGGCATTTTTATTAATTTCAAACAATTTGAACTTATTGTCATTTTTTTTCTGTTAAGTAGTGGGTTAATGATGATATTTTTATGAATTTCATAAAGATCCAAATTCTAACTTTTTCTAGTAAGCTGGTAGTAATTGAATAGAGTAAGTGTTTTTGTAAGACAGGTGTATGACTGCATAAAAAATATTCTTCATTCCCCCTTTTTCTGTTTATCAGTAACACTTAATAATTTGTCTTGAGTGCATACAGAAACAAATGTGGGCTGTACAAATATATCACAGTAACAGGATTACTGCCTTATACTGTAACAGTAACAGTAAAAATGATCACTGAAATATTTTCATTTGTGTCTCAACCAACCTGTTTCTAGCTTTCATCTTAAATCTGTACTGCGTGCCACACTTCAGGTTCTGTGCCGTGTATGTCCTGTTCTGTGGTCTTGTGGTCACTTCAGTCCAGTCCTCGTGGTCAGCCTTGTACATCAAGATGAACCCTTAAAGGGATAACAACTATTTGTATGAGATTTATATTTCACAATGAATGCATTCTAAAAAACTCATAGAAATATGATAAATTCTATTTTACCACAAAAACAGTGGCTCCATAGATGGCTATACCCTCTGTAATAATCTCTTAAGAAATTAAGACAAAAAACTTTTTACAAAGTTTTTTTTAACGTCAAAAGATATGTCATACTTAATAGAAATGAGCTCTAAATCAAAAGCAAAAATATTCAAAATAACATGATTACCCATTTTAAGAATTGTATGTGAACTTTTACAAAAAGTAACACAACATTGTTGCCAAATAATCAATGACTTTGTTAACCATTGGTCTGCCATGTTTCACGCATTATTCTACAATCTTTTTAAGAGAATAATTAACTAATTATTAAAAATTATTAAATCGACACATAAAAATATAATAAAATCTAGTTACCACGTTTTCGGGGCTACATACTAAAACCTGGTTAAAATAAATTTAATTATGGTTTCTGTATAGTTTACAGCTAATTGTACATCTATTCAGTTTTGACCATGTACATGTATAATTAGACCATCTTCCTTCTTGTTTTCATCTTCATTTTCATTTATCGTCTCTCACCTGTAATTGTGCTGCCGCCATTGCTGCCAGAACGCCAGTTCACCTGGACTGACTTCTCTGTTGTCACTGCAACTGATATTGTAGGGGCCCTGGGGGGTGCTGAAAATGTAAATGAAAGGTTAGGTTATTTATAAAAAGGAGAAGTTTTTTAAAAATGATCAGACAGTTTTTATTTGAGCCTGGATTAAAAAGAAAGTGAGTGGACTAGTTGAAAGGCAATTTACTCTGTACAACATAAATAAATAATGTTAATTGTAAACAAATACATTTTAGCATAGGTATATATATGTATGTATATGCTGCAATGTTGACCTGTAAGTTATCTAGAAAAATGTCTTTATTTATTTCAAAAGGCAAATTTTCAATTAGAGCCAAAACAAAAAATAACTTTATAAAGTGAAGACTGAATACAAGAAAGCCAGTGACACTTAAAAATTCTATAAGCTCAATGTGATGTTTCCTTAAATGCCCCCTTATCATTTCAAAAATCAAAAAAAATAATTGTACATGTGTCACATTAAAAGAAACTTAACTGAAAAAATACACAATAATACAGTGTAAACATATTGTTAGTGCAGAATAATTTCACAATCACAAATTTTTTCTAAAACAAAACTTAAAAATATTGGGTGTTTCTATAACTGTATGATAAAACAAATAATATCATTCTGAGCATTTTATACATTCATATTTTTCAAAAAAAAAAAAAATAGTCACACTTTCTAGTAATTCATAAAATCACCAAAATTGCTTATAATACACCACAACCACGTAACAAGATGATTAGCAAAATCATTCAGAATTATTTCATCATTTTTTACACAAAATGTTAAGTACAAATGGCCACGTAACTTTAAAACTCCACCACGATCACATGACTGCACAAAGCACATGCAAATTACTAAGGAATACAAATCACTAATATCTTGTATTTCCATTTTTGATAGGCTGCCTCTAAACCTAAATTTAATGATCCAGAGGAAGTCTCACCAAGTAAAAAAAACAGTCAAATTGGAATTAAATGAGGCATCCAGTAAGGCATTATAAATAAAACAGATTCTGGTACATTCAGCATGTTGCCATGGTTTTAGGCTGTTTCACTAAAATAAATTTTTTGTTTGTCTGTTCAAGAGTCAATTCATTCCCTTTTAAGTTAGATCTGAAAAGATCACAACCAGAGAATTACAGTCCCTGAATCTGTTTTATTTTATCCTCAAGGGAATGTCCCTAGGTAATCACACCAGGAGCTGACTAAAAAAAAATCATATAACTATAATCACTACTGTAAAGAGTCACAGTGGTAAAGATTGGATCTGAAAACTGGATCATGGTGTTGTTTGTAAAGGATCAAAATCTCTGAGATATACTTACTCCTTATGTCACGATTGACTGATATTGGAAACAAAACCATATGACTTAACATTTGATACTCTATAATTTATTCAAGTATGTAAATATTTGTTACATAAATTAGGAGCACATTTTCACACTCACTTCATGATGCTACAAACTCACTCATACAATGTTGAAAAAAAGGGATATTTCAGAAAAATGTTATGAATAACAATTACAAACTTATCATTTCATTAGATACTAAATAGAAAGAATTTCATTTTGGCCGAAAAATTTTTTTAAAAAATGTAAAATGATTGAAATACTTACCCTGCACTATTAGAGATATCGTGATCTCGTCGGCACCATACTGGTTCACAGCCTGGCATGTGTAGTTAGCGGCGTCTACGCCTTGAACATCCACAATTTCTAGCGTGCCATTCTCCAGGATCTTCACATGCGAGTTGTCAGGAGTTAGGGACACGCCTCTGTGGGTCACATGAATTATCAAATCAACCAATCATTGATTGTGACAAATGAAAATGTTATGGAATAATAAAACATATGTAGATCTAAGGTGATACATAAATTGGAAAAGTGTATTTTTAAATATAGTTTTGGAACTGATAATAAATTAACACAATGGACTTAAAATAATAGAGATATATCAAGATATGTTGTAATTAGTTAATGCAAATTGAATATGAATATATTCACAATGTAAAAGGAAAGCACATGATAGAAAATGATGGAAGTGTTATGAGACTCCAAACCTTTTCCTCCACTGAATGGAAGGTACGGGGTCACCCACAGTCAAGCAAGGGAGCATCACATTCTCTTTCCAAGGAGTCAAAACTCTGGCTGAAAAACTAGCCACACGGGCAGCCACTGGAAGGATTGAAGACGTACATGAAAATGTGGAATATTGTAAAATATAAATTCTGCATCAAAAGTATTTTACTTAAATTTTCTTGGCTAGCACAGAAGAAAAATGATATAGTTACATTCAATCCTCAACTGGACGGGTTTTAATTTTCTGAGGCTGTAAACCTTATATTAGAACATAAATAATCATGTATGTGATAGAAACAATTCTCTCCCAAAATTTGTCCGTGTAATATATAAGTGATGCTTGCTATTCAACTTTCTCACTACTACAATGGTCATCATATGGTGTCTTGACTCTCTAGCTCTTTCTCTCCCTCTCTCTCTCTTTCCCTGTTTCTCTTTCTTTCTCTCTCTCTCCACTCTCTTCTCCCCCCCCCCTCTCTCTCCCTCTCTCTCACCTCTTTCTACTGGGGTCTGGGAGACCTCCCTGGTTCTCTCCCCCTCCCCTACAATGGTGGCAGCAGAGACCTGGAAGGTGTACATTCTGTTCTGTACCAGACCAGTGACACTGTAGCTAAGCTGGCTGGGAGGGACCTCCACACGGTCCAGGATCTCCTGGAGAAATAAATGCAAAGTAATAATGTAGGTGCAATGATTGCACCAGCAGTACTGGAAGCACAACTAGCACAATCTCAGTCTCTCCACTTTTGATTTGCATAAGTGAGAAGTAGTCCACCTGACCTGCTAGCCTTTTTATTTTGGCAGACATTTGAAAGTAGTGAGACAGTCAGGACCTTAGCTTAGGAGATCTTAGAAGATAGTAAAAAAAGTAAGCATATGACATTTATGTTATTGTTTAAAAGTAATGTTATTCACACTTTATTGTTACATTGTAGGTGCATGTTTAAAATAAGAGAATGTACTGTTAGTGTTTGGTCTCACAATAGTGTTACAATAGTGTTAGCAATGTCATATGTGAGGGAAACGTGGTTTACTCAACAGCACCATTTTTATTGCACTTAATTTTATTTAGGTTTTAACACTTAAGGTGAATGAGACCAAGTGTACATAGCCAACTTATTAAAGAAGTACGGAGTTAATGGTAAGTTTATGTTATGACAATGTATAATTGCTTTGTTGGATATTCATATTCCTAATGGGTTTAGTCGTGAGTAGAGCTAACTGGTTGTGTTATCAAAAACAAGCTGTCAAATTTATGGAATGATAAATATGTAGCTTTTATTGTGTTAATGAGGAATTAAATGCCTTTAATAAACAGCTAGTGTTTGGAAATTTTATAATAACATGTAAATTTGGCTTGATGAGATTGTTTCATGAGATATTTATCATTTATTTATTTGTTATTTGTTTTCCTTTTAGTTTCATTTGTTGATTCAGAAAAGAATAAAGAATACAGTACAACCCGTCAGCATTCCCTCTCTTACCTGTCTGACTACAAGTAATAATAATAATAATAATAATAATAATTTATTCAGCTTATTTTCAATTTAGACAGGCTGTAAAATGGGCACCATTTTGAAGGAGAAAAACATGCAGGTCCAGGAGAACGGGGAAGGGAACCAGCAATGCAGAAATCAAGACGTCAGGGCTAGACTGGAACACCATAGGCAAATTAGCTCAAGAGAGAGAAAATTGGAGGTTTCGTGTGTCTGCCTTATTTGACCCTAGTAGTAGTTACGAATAGCTTTAACTAAGTACAGGTAGGTAAGTAATATATATATGTAAAATATACATCAATGTATAACTCATTTATAATATAAAATAAAGTGTATTTCAGGAAAGATTCACTTCTTTTCTAATTATAAGTCATACATGCATTTAGTATCCACGCTTAGGCTTTTCTATAAAAGTGAAGATGAGCATATACATTTTTGACAGGGCGTACCTTTCCCATGGCATCATTGTGCTTGAAGTAGATGATGTATTTCTGTATTATTCCATTTGGTCTCAGAGGCTTTTTCCATGTGATGAGTATGCTGCTCTCATTCATGGCAAGAGCTTTCACGTCTGCTGGCTGACCAGGCTCTGATTAAAAAATTCATTCAAAAATTTTATCAATTTATTGGAATATGTTGTTCATTGGTTATAAGTAATAAAGTTTTTTATGAAATTCCCCAATCAAAATGGCCAAATTGTGTTTTCAAAAAGCAATGGATGATATCAACTTATTCTTCCTGTTCTTCATATACCCATATACTAGTATAAAAATTGAAAGGGCTTGACAAACAAAAAATAGTCAACTTTAAAGGTGATCTTAATCAGCTATGAACACTAGTTAGTATGCACAAAGACACTCATCTCTCTCTCTCTCACACACACACACACACACACACACGACATAACATACCATCCTGTTCTGTCCTGACATAGATGGGGGCACTGCGGACCCCCTCCCCCATTCTAGTGTAGGCCAGCACCTGCAGACTGTAGTTGGTGAACTTCTCCAAGCCGTGGATGTCTGCATTGATGTTCTTAGTGGTAATCACCTGGGCATCACTTTCATCTGAAATAACAGGGAAGTAGTTCTTCTAAGTGTCTGAGTGTGACAGATGACATAAGAATAGCCACAAAAATATAGTGTCCAGCTAAAACATGTTAATTTAGTAAAAAAAAAACTCTAAAATTATAAAATCAAATGATCTTGATGCCATAAAGGCTGTTTACTAGTAGGATCTGTCTCAGCAGGGATTCTCCCTTGGTACAGAAAATATAATCAGTTTACTTGTCTGGCACCCAACCTCGCAAAGCAACATGAACAACATCATGGACCACAAAGTTTTCCCAACTTTACCCAAATACTACAACAGGAGTGGCCTACCTTCATCAGGGGTGACAGGCTTGTAGAGCACCTTGAACCCCAGCAGCACACCATTGAGGGTGTAGAAGGGGGGTGGTGCCCACAGAACCCGAATGCTGACAGAACTCAGGGGTGTGGCCTGCACGCTCTGGGGTGGTCGGCTGGGCACTGGGGGTGAACAGAAGAATGTATGAATGGATGAAATTTATTTTTTATCAAATTTTGGGGAAAACTCGTCTCATTAGAAAATATTTCAATCTTGTTCTGTCTTTTAAAAGGTAATACCTAAAGAAGACATGAAATTATTGATAAGAGCTTTATATCAATCTGCTGCCCAACAAGTATGAACATGCACATAGGAGCAATGGTCTTTATTTTTAAATAAAACACATTATCATAAACATATCTGTCTTATAATTTTATAAAATCATCACAGTAGTATCACTTTCTATGGCCCTGCCCACTAAACAGTGAGCAGCAAATCGCAATTAACTCACCATCCTCTAGTGTCATGACAACACTGTCAGGTGACTTAGGCCCTGCCCCCTCAGAATTAAATGCCTGGATGTGGAGCGCATACTTGGTAAACTTCTCCAAGTTGGTTATGGAGTAGTGCCGAGTGAAACCTTGACTGTTTTGTCTTGTGATGTAGATATAAGGTGTACTGCTGTTATAGATTTTGTAGCCAACGTAGTAGCCCTGGATGACGCCATTTTGGTGCTCTGGGAGTGGAGGCTGGAAAAGTTAGCATCACAGTACTGTACCAATACGTAACGTAAGGACAAGAACTGAGGACTTTTATTCTATTATTGGAAAAATGATAAGGAATATATTACCACTAAAACTTTTTTTACTAATTGCTAAAATTGTATTTTGGATGACACTCTGATTACAAATTGAAGGAAAGCATCGTCCTTGTACCTTAAAAATGTCTAATATATAATAATTTACATCCATAGATGAATAGTATAGATGTCACGTGTAAAAATCTTAAAGATGCATACAAAGCCAGCATATAGTTTCAAGTAGATTAACTATGAGAATTCCCAAAAGGCATTGTTTAATTTAACCCGAAAATGATGTTTGAACAGATTTTTCTGCTAGCATTCTATGCTGTATGTCAATGGGGCAGAAAAGTAGGTCACTAAAGTAGGTTAAATTTCTGACCAAAAATTTAAGGGAAGGAGCAGTCTAAAGGTCTTTTATGGCTGATCGAATGATCTATTCAGTTTATCCCTTGGCATGTCGAATTTATTTGAGTCGTATAAGAAACTAGTAGAAGTGGTTTATATGTGTTACTGGGAATCCACGCTACACCGATGCTCAGTTAGTATGTACCTTTAAAGGCACTATTTCTGAGAATCAAAGTAATCTCACCTGCCAGGTGACTTCCAGAGACTGTGAACCTGTAGCTTTCAGCTGTATGTCAGTGGGAGGACCTGACGGGGCTGGAACAGAATCATTTGGAATTGGAATCCTTTGCACATTACACATTTTGGGTAAAGAGAGTGAAATATAACTGTTTCATATTTTAGTATATTTCCCAATAATAAAAGTGAATTTTATGCTTTTTTTAGCATATATCGTTTGCCTTTTTAAGAAACGAGATTTCTTTCTTTTGTCATAGAGTACAAAACCATATCATGATACTGACAATAAATTCTCAAATCAGCAAGACAATAATCTTCAAATCAACAATAAAAGAACTTTAAAGCTACTCAGATATTTATTTTTGTCAATATATTTCTAGTCAGAGTTTATAAACATACTTTAATTTGTAAATTATAAAATGATACAACATTTACAGTAGAATAATTGTTATCTTTAAAACTCTTACCCTCCTCTCGAGTTGTAAAATTCACAACATCACTTGGTAGACCCTCTCCCAGTTTGTTTACTGCAAGCATGCGGACACTGTAGTTATAGGCAGGGTGGAGACCATGGAGCGTTGCCATGGTAACATTAGGTAAAGTGGTCAAGTTCTTGGTACTGGGAGACCACACATCTGTGGAAAACACAAAAATGAATTTTGACAGTCGAGAAAGAATTTTTTTACATTAACATTGTATTAATTTGCAATATGATAAATTTACTGTATCAAGTGAATGGCAAGTATCCAAGCATATCTAATATTTTATACAAAAACTTAACAGTTATGACTGTAACAAATTTTTGCCAAACTGTGTAAGCCTTTTTCCTATTTGTCATGGCCAAAAGAAATCTCTCAATAAGCTTCAATGTTCAAACTCATGATTCCTGAGGATTAGCTTTAAAACACTGAAATATTTAAACATTTATTTTATTTATTCACTATCAAATCCTATTTTCTGAGCCTTGCCTGTGAAATTTTTGTACTGTATCACATAGTTGAGGAGAAGACTGTTGCCATTAAAAGGGGCCCTCCAGGAAATACTGGCAGAGCGGCTCCACTTGGACCCCACTTCAACATCCACTGGAGCCTCGGGTTTTTCTAAAAATTAAAATAAGCATATTTTTTCTGTTTAAGGTGGATTTACACAGGTTTTTCTATTTAAAAAATTAGAATTTTTTTCTGTTTAAGGCGGATTTACACAGGTTTTTCTATAAACAAAAATAGGCATTTTTTTTTCTGTTTAAGGTGGACTTACACTGAAGATAAGTCCACCTTTTTCTGATCTGCAAGAGGTGTGTATATTCTGCCTTAGAGAAACCTTGTGATTTCTCTTTTCTTTTAGTCATCTGAATAAGATAAGTTGGTTATTGGTGCCTAATTACCTAGCACTGTAAGTTCAATCAGTAACGTATCATCCCCAAAGGCATTCTTGGCAATACAGACATAAAAACCAGAATCTTCTCTCACTGCAGGGTTGATGGTCAGCTTGGTGGTGCGCCCTCTATCTGTATTGTGCAGTATCAAAGCAAGCCTGTAAAGATGAAAGAGAAGAAAAACATTTATTAAAATATGCAAAACTCAATGAACAAACCAGAAGCTCAGATTTTACCCCTGTAACCATCCAATTTCTCTTACTTACAATTATTTAATTTCCAACACAATCTTTGGATATGGAGATAGTCCTTTTCTCTCCCCAAAAACTGCATAATAAACAAAACTCAAAACCAAGCAATTTTTATATCCCCAGGCCTTCAATATTACAGTAAAATTGCCCTCCTCTTCCATTATATTATATTTTTTAACCCCTGCTCCCCTCCCAGCCAAATCATGGATCCACCAATATAGCACACCTCTGATTATTCTGCCAGTTCAGCTGTTCCCCGTTAAAGCTCCAGCCGAGAGACATAGGCATGTCTCCAATAGCATCACAGCTGATGTTAATACTGGCCCCCTTCAGGACAGAGTGGTTCCTCTTGTTTTCATCAAATCTGGCTGGTACTGGAATTAGGACAGAGATCAGTTTTTAATTTCAAGGCAGAAAATACAGTAAATTTGATAAAATTAATGAGGAATAATTGAAAATACATCTGGATATGTCACATTATATTTGTTATATATACTCCCTTCAGAGTTTTAAATCTGATATCAGGAATGCCTACTTTGCTGTAGGACTAAATACACAAATTAAACATATATTTTAGTTAACAAATTTTATCATGGAAATGTTATCATATTTCCCACAACAATATTTTGTCAGCATCTTTAGTTTTGAAAGTATAACCAAAAATGAAAAATCTTTAAAAAAATAAAATATTGGGGAAAAAAAGGATTCTCAAATTTCAGACTAATTACCATTATGATATTCAAGATTTAAAAATTTTAAAAGCCCCACTTACTGTGTACATTCAGGAATACCACTTTGCTAAGTCCCGTCCCGATTCCATTACTGGCATGACAGAGATAATACCCATGATCCTCCTCTCTGGCCTGGTTGATGACCAGGGTACCATTGGGGAAGAGGTGGCGGTGGGGGCGGCCATTGGGCGCGGTTTCAGAGAAGTCCATCACCTGGTAGTTGCCAGGGTTTTCACCTGTAGAAAAATTTCAAGTGTGAACAGATATAAAGGAAAAATTGCTTAAATTCCCAGCATTTTCTTTTTACCCTTTTTCTTTGTTTGTTTGTTTGTTAGCTATAAAATATCGAAGTCAAATACAAGATTTTTAGTAAAGTGGAAACAATTTGACCATGTCACCTACGAGAAAAAGGACAATTCTGAAATTTCCAGGAGTTATTCATTTATTTATTTATTTCATTTAATTATTTTTTTTCTTTTTTTTTTTTTTTGCTATTCAAATGTCTTATGAGTATAGTATGTCTTAAGTAAATTGAAATGATCATGACTATACATCACCTACCTTTGGCTTTCTTCCACATGACGGTGGGTTCTGGGGTACCTGTACTCTGACAGTGAAGCAGCACAGTCTGACTGAGGACCACAAAGGAATTGGAAGGCTCCACAACCCAGCGAGGAGGCACTGAAAACAATACCAATTATAGTTATTTGTAATTCAAATAAAACAAGTCAAGGTATGTTGTGAAATTCTTTGCTAGAAGCATAGGAAAAAGGTGATTTTAAAAATTTACTGTAAATATGCAACATATGTATATAAAGGCACACACTTAAAGGAGAGAGAGAGAGAGGGAGAGAGAGAGAGAGAGAGAGATGTGTGGTTACCATCTACATGCAGTTCAGCAGTGTAGTTCACCATGGCAGCACTGTTTTGAGCTATACAGGTGTAGTTGCCATTGTGTTGAGGGGTCACATCTCCTATCATCAAGGTGCTCATGTATGGACCTAGCCTCTAGAATAATGAATAAAGTCATCATAAGGATTGCACTTAGAAAAAATAATGGATTAAATCCATTTAGAAAATATATACGAAAAGAATAAGGGTATTTGATATTTTTAAGCAATTCTAAAACTAACTTATCACTCGCATATGCATTCTGGAACATATTGATTAAAAATGCTGGAAACCAAGCGGTGATTGTGTATAAAATTAAATTATTGTGATAGCAAATTAAATCTCGAAAAAATATATGTATATATTTGAACAAGAATATTGTTTTAATTTACAGTCTTCAGTCAGTTTTAAATATTTATTTTTGGTTCAACTTACCTGTACAGTAATACCAAGATCAAGGGGAATGGCTTGACCATCCTTGAGCCAGCTCAGTGTTATTGGGGTATCTCCAGAGCTGACCATACAGGACACTGACACACGGTCACCCTCCTTTCTTTTTGGGAAATTGAATCTGTCAATTCTGGGTGGTTCTGAAAAATATTAGAAATGTAAATGAACCTCTAGAGTAATATATTGCTATGAGGAAATTTATTTAAAAATTGTTATTTTAATATTTATCTTTCATAATAGTTAACACTGTCAATTGTGAGTGACTCTGAAAAGTATTTGAAAATTTTAGTTTAGTGTTTGGCTTAATTCTTTTATGTCACATCTGTTACTATGAAAAGTGATTTGCAGTCACCCAAAATCGCCAAGTGCATCTTTACATGTGAAATTTAATACAGTAAACATATTCCAAACATATTTTTCTTTCAAACTTTCAACACTTTCAAAAGTGAAGTAGCAGCAACAGAAGATCGACATTTAGAACAGAACATCAACTTACCCATGACTTGCACATGTACACTTCTGCTTGCTATCTGCCCTTTGTTGTTTGAAGCAGTGCATACGTAGGCGCCTTCATCATACGACTTCTGCACATTCTCCACGGTGAGTACTCCAGCCGTGGACACTGCTTGACGGTGGTTAATAGGCAGGGTGTGACCGCCTGAAATAGCACCACATGCTTAAGTCACCATGGTTTCTATACAAAGACCTCGGCCTGGCTGGCACAGTGTATATTGCTATTATTATTATTATTATTATTATTATTATTACTTCATTTTATTTTTGTCTAGTACTTGAATAAATTCAAACAAATGTGTGTGTGTGTGTGTGTGTGAGAGAGAGAGAGAGAGAGAGAGAGAGAGAGAGATCAAACCAAATTAATATCTGAAAATCTAAAATTAAATTTTTCAATGTACAAAGAATACATTCAGAAAACTCTCCACAGGTTAAAAATATTAGATTTAATACCTTACCTTTTGACCACTCTATACTCTGTAGAGGAAATCCCGATGCATAACAAGGTATTACAAGTTTATCATTGGCTACCGCGCTCACATTCTTCATGGGTCGTATGTAAGGCACTCCTGATTAAAAAGTGAAGCATAAGTTAGGGTTCAACTATTGCACCTCTATACAAAAACAGAACATTATTATTTACCAAACCTTCTGTCAGAATTTAGGCACAGTAAGAGAGAGAACATGTGCTTGCTCGTAAATTACATTTCACTCGTTTTTAAAAGGGCAACAGATATGAACCAATACTAACAATACCAGCTAAAAAACAAGATGAGACGAATTCTAGACAACATATAACAATGATATAAATAAAGTAATTGCAGTAAAACAAACTTACCATAAATATTGAGTCGATTTTGATGGGCCAGACTTCCGACTTTATTTTCAGCAAAACAGCGATATAATCCACCATCTTCAACTCTGAGGTCAGTAATGTTTACGTGACTAATGACGTCACCTTGTGGTGTAACGTAATAGCCCATGCGGAATCTGCCATTTTTGGGGATCTCTCCCGCATCCAGTGTCCACGTGACATTTGGGATGGGGTTCCCAGATGCAATGCATTTCAGAGATATTGACGTGTGTTGCTGCATGTACTGCTCTTGAAACACTCCGTGAAACAAAGGCTTGGCGGCTAAGATCAAGAAAAATAGATGTCAAAAATAAAATCATATGAACTGATTTTTAACCAGTAATTAAAAAGTAAAATAGGCCCTACTGGTGAAATGCAAAATGCACACTGATTTAATTAGTTTACCTGCGTAGACCTTTAAAAGCGGATAGCGTCTCTCTACAGATTCCATTTTTACATTCTAACAACTTTGTACGGAGAATATTAACTATTTGCCCATCTAACAATTTTAAAGCTCATAGGCCCTATATATACTTATTCTTCAAAACTGTCCTACCTCCCAAATCCAGCTGAGCTGACCCCTGGGCATTGTCTTCCTCATTGGACGCCACGCACTGGTACATCCCCTTGTCCATCCTCTGGACACTGGCCAATCGCAGCACGCGGTCATTTTCAAATGACACGTGGTCGTCAGCCGTAAGCAGGCGGCCATCCTTAAACCACGTGACGGAGGAGACAGGGTAGCCATGAATGGAACAGTTAAGAGACGCCGGGTCACCCCCGTCTATGGTTTGCCGTGTTGGAGTGACGCTGACTGATAATGGAGCTATAGGGAAATTATTTTGATTTATTAATCGTTATATTTTGGGGGTAAAACAGATTTTTAGGTAAGAATTATTGACGGTAAGCATTAGAAATTCCTGATGGTTTGTTATTAACTGATAAGAAAATGTCAATTTTTCAAATTCTACACGTAAATGTGCCAGTTTTAGTTTACTTTAGTATGTGATGCCCCGTTGACGTTAGACGCTGTTGCAGTGCGGGGCCACACTTAGTTCTGTTATATAAAGAGAGGCTACCCAAAAACTTCTTACCCGATATTGTAAGTTGCGTAGCTGCCGTTTTAGAGCCGAGCGTATTGGATGCCGTACAAATATACGTCCCTGAGTCGCTGGTGACTACGTTTCGTATCACAAGATTCCCTCCTCTCTGGAACACCTTGCTTTGGTCTGTGACGACTGCAGTGCCATCTTTTGTCCATGAATATCGCGGCAGGGGGTATCCAGTCGCTGTGCAGGGTAGCTCTACGGTGTGACCTTCTTGTAGTTTGATTTGGGATACTGTGTCTTGTATATGTGGAGGGCTGTTGATGGTTGCTGTATAAATGGGTCAGATGAAATACAGGTTATCCCCAAAATCTATTTGAAATTTAAGTCGCTCGTGTCTTTATTTGGTTAAAAATTTAATGATTTTATTTCAAATTAAATTAAAAAAGTGCGCCTGGCAAGTTCTTAGAAATGACACCTGGAGTGTGTAATCCGATGGTATTTTATCAAATGAAATATATAAATGAAGCAAAATCGGCTCTGATGCTTTGAGCGCTTGCACCATATTACTGAAGTTTGAAGTATGCACTGCTCATAATGTGACGTTGGCGCGGTTGGCATTTGGCTTTTCAACGGTTAGCCCAACTTCGATGGTTGGCTTTCCGACATTAAGCCGAAGTTGGCCACCCAACCAAGCCAACATTGGACCAACGGTGGGCCAATGCCGTCCTGCCACCTGGGTGGAGCCTTTTTTTTTACCTGCTATCACGTTGAGCGAGGCGGGTAGACTGGCTTTTTGGTCTCCAGTCAAGACGTTGTTTGTAATACATCTATATGTTGACTGTGTGTCTTCGTCTCTAAAATTTCGTATGTGGAGTTCACCAGAGGGAAGGATACTGTATCTGTCGTCTAAAACGAAAGTAGATATGAGAGGTATGAAAACGAAAGTGAAAAGTGTTGAAGATTTTTTGTCATACCATGTGTAGATTGTGTGTCATGTTGTTGTGTTCAAGTAGAACAAAATGTGATAGAAACTTATTTGTCTGATAAAAAGAAATGAAACACACGAGATATGAGAACGAATGTGTAAAATTTCAGAGAAACGAAAGGTGTGATTTGTGTCAACGAATGTTATTTGATGTACATCTTGATGAAATCCTTTCATTTGCCGCACATTTTACCTGGTTTTATCACAGTGTTCGACTTCCACCATCCCGTGATGTTGACGTAATCCTTGACGATGTACGGGTTGATCTCACAGCGGAACACGGCGGTCGTGCCTCTCATTGCCCACACATCGTTCACTCGGACATTGTAGGACTTGTACTGTTCTATTAGCACTGTAGAAAAAATAAAACAAAACTTATGGTATTTTATTTTTAATTCTGAAACTCTTAAACCCTAAAAACTTAACAAAAATATTTAAAGATATGTGGTATACAACAAAAAGATGGAATGGGAGAAGATTATCCTCCACTCGCACTTGGTCTCAGTTAAGAGTTATTAGATAGGTATCTGAGGATTAAGGGGACGTGCGCGTTGGCCGTTCCTCCTCTTTCGAACAGTGTGTTTAATTTAACAGCATTGCAGCTAACACATTAAGGTGCAAGGTTCCTGATTCTGACGGGGCCATAGGTAACTCGACGCCTTAAGCCATTGTTTGAAGACCATACTGAGGGGGGGGGGGGGGAGTCACATTTAGACATTGAAGGCAAAGATTCAGTATTTATTCATAACCTTATTTTTCCAGTAATAAAGCTTGTGGTATTGTGAACGATCTACGGCACAGTTATCTGTGGTCAATGTGAACGTGGCCTGTGATTTGCCTTTCGAGCACAAACATTTCAAGACCCAGTTCTATCGACGAAGCATTTAGGAATCAGTGTACGTATTGAAATAATAATCGCCGATGCTTTTTACCCCCCAAGTCTTATTTAATGTTTAAGTGTGTTTAAATATACTCTTGCTGGAAGAACGTTAGTATTTGTATCTAGTTACTTCAACCCGTTTGCTTAAACGATTCTGAGCCGAGCTCCTTCTTTTCTCTTTATCTCCGCTAATTTCTTTGTCTACAAAGTCGAAGTGACTTGTCTAGGAAACAAATACTAAGATGATATGATACTGAAAGTTTCGCCCTGCAAGTAAATAGAAACGCCTTGCTGCTGTAAATCTAAAGTAGATTAAACTAAGTTGACTCCTGATTATTTTTTTTCGGCTTGCCAAACAACAAAATACAAAAACAACAAAACAGTCATAAAGAAACTAAATTAAACAATAAAACATTAGTCGCAAAAGAAAGAAATCTGAAAATGGCTTTATAATATTTGAACTGTTGCTCTGGATACAGAGACAAAACTCGATTCTAGTTTTTGGTCGACTTATACAAAAAACAAAGAGACAATTTAGGTTTTAAAAGGTTAATTACCCTGGGAGAAGACCATGGCCTGTGATTATGGTATCCCCAAAACCACTCAAAACGTATCTCTTTATCACAACACTGCGACATAATTTCGATGTTGACACTATTACTACTAATAACAACAGTTTGGGTATAATAACATGACGTGTTTTGGTAATTTTCAGAAAACGAAATAGAGTTTTTTAAACAAAACCAAGTTTAATTTACTCGTCGAGAAGCAAGAATGGCAACTCCATCAGGAGTAACGCACGTTTCTGTTCATTTCGATAATAATCCTTAAAAAATAAAGAACGAAATTAATGAATCGAGATAAATCGAGAGGCGGAAATTGCTTAAGGGAAGTCAGCTAAGAGAGCTGGAACAAAGCAGCATAAAAGCGTTCGTTAGTCTTCATTGGGGCGGTTGAATTTAACGGTAATGCCAATAGCTTGAGGAATGTAAGTTCCATTGTCCCAAGTACGAGAGAAGCGGATGAAGTCGGAAATTGTTTTTACGAAAAAAAATCTGAAAAAATGAATGCAAGAAAAAATCGTTTGAAATTAAATACGTAGTACGAGGCTTTTCCGCCGAAGATGTATGGAAGAGAGTTAGATAATGACTGCCATTGTTCTTTGGGTATACTCTTCCAAAAACAAAATAAAAAGAAAATCGTTGACAATTCAGTTTATAATACGCAAACTTTTCTCCGCCTAATGACTGTTGTTCGACCGCCTGCATTTAGTCTCCGATGAAAGCACTTTGTCCTAATCGAGTGTTCGGCGCTGATTCAATACAAACAAGAATTCCCTGGAAACGCTTTACAATTTTACGTGAATAAGAAACACCATCCCTTTCGGACGTCCACGGCCTGTGACAACACGCACTATAATTAAGCAGGCCTGTGACAATGGGGAGATGACAAACGACCTAACAATTAATTGCTGTTACTCCGATGTTGACCGAATCGAGCCGCGTTCAATTAATCAATCCATGTTTCACTACGGCTAATTAAGCCACCAAGAAACGCAAACCCTGAAACCATTAACCCTCCTTGTCCACGCCACGATGACCCCTGGCTAACCAGTAAAAATTGTTTTTAAATGGGACGTCTGGCCACTCGCCCCTGGTCAGCGGATATTTATGTTGTGTCAATGCATTGTCCGTTATATGAAATTAATTCCACTACATAAGAAAAGATTGGTGGATACGTGTATCAGTTTGGTAGATACGTATGTGTTTATGGATGTTTGGGGGATGCAAAAGGGGGCGTCTGCACGTTTACTTTCCATAGTGCGCTCGACCTTTGTTTAGCGCGTGTGTCAATGTGTGTGTGTGTGTGTGTGAGAGAGAGAGAGAGAGAGAGAGAGAGAGATTTGGGTTGATGGTGATAAAGCAAAAAACACAAAATATTTTCATAAAATGGGCAAGGTAAAGCTCTCTCTCTCTCTCTCTCTCTCTCTCTCTCTCTCTCTCTCCGAGGCAGGTGCGGCTTTTGTCTTCGGGAGAATATTGCACCAATTCACTCCACCTTATCATTCATTGATCAAAACACATAAAAAAAGAGTACGCCAAAGAGAAAAAACCTTTCCTGATACTGAATTATCCTTGAAATCACTAGTTTTCCATAAATGTTTTCCGGCAAGCAAAATATTTCCCCCAAATTCCACGTGTCCCGGAAACAGATACCGCTAATTTTCTGTCCATCATTGAGTTTTCAAAGAATTTCGGTGCTTCCATCTCTTTCCGTTCAATAATGTGACTACTGTGAACCTATCGCATCTTGTCGTTCTCAATCCAGGACGAAATATTTAAGATTGGACGGGAATATTCATGAACATATGTGTTCCAATTTGGTACCTAGATTTGCCGTTTGCTGAGCTTTTTAAAATTTCTACAAAACGGAAACTGCAATTCAGGAATAGCAGATGTTGGTGAATTGATACTTTACGTCAAAAGGTCGATACAAGACGAAGATGGAAATTATGTGAGATGCTTGTAAGACACAAAAAGAGAGAGAGAGAGAGAAAGAGAGAGATGGCCCTCACAGAAGAGAAGAACCTTAGAAATGAAATATAGTTGTGCTTAAAAATTAAGGACTCAGATCAACGTACAGAAACCCTGATAAAAATACCCTGACTTCTGGACAACTGTTGGATCCATTACTGACACTTTGCTTAACTTTATTTATCTTGTCCCATAATAAAAGCAAGCACAAATAAGGCAAAGAAGGTATTGAATACACTAAAAATCACGGAAGATCATTTCTGAGAATGTCAGGACATATCCCACTGAGAATGAAGACTCATTTAAAAGGGATCCCGTCTGTACGATCCATATGTTTGCTCTTTCGTACGCGTTCGTGTCCTCGGTCAACAGTACTCCTATTCAGATTGGCGACGGCCAATTGATATCTCCATACCTAGGATGTGCCCGCGGGTTGATTTTAACGTTTTTACCGGAAGTTTTTCCCGCCATTCTGGCACGCGTTCAGTGCATTGACCAAGATAAATATGTCTCAACGAAACCTCTGTTTACTATCAATAAAAAGAACACAATGCAATGAACATGATGAATAGTGAAATAAACGCACGTAGCCTTAAGCTTCGGTCACATTGTTTTTGTCCTAGTTTCTTAATGAATCAGTGACCGTTTACTTTAGCCCGATCTATTATAAACTAAGCGTTTTGTAAGGAATGGCAAAGTGTACTTTTGTGCAGCAAACGTGTGTCAAACAAAAACGTTCAGTCCTTGGTTGTGATAAAAATCAGCCCCGGGCGTTTCTTGGTCTTATCACTGTTTTTATTTAATTAATTTCAATCTTGATTTTCAGTTTACATAAAATTATGAAACTGCGTATTTTTAAAATGGGGAGTACAGCACGAATCTTCGAGATTCAAAGTAAAGGGTCAAGTCCCTGTCCAATGTAATTGCAGGGCAAGATCGGAGCGTTTTTTAAGAAAAATCATAAATTTTTACAATCTGAAACCATACATACCTGTCTGTACCTATCACTGAACATAATTGAATCATGTCATACAAGTAAGTATCTAAGAATACAGAATAAACATGTATGTGTTTGTTTAAAATAAAAAATTCAAAACAGTAAGCAATGCACTGATTGACTCGATCTGATGAAATTTACTAAGTGTCAGTCAGTTTTAGCCGCTCGAAGTAAAAAGTAGACAAAAGAGAGAGCTTGACATTTACAGCAGACGCCGATCGTTGTAGCAGTTTTAAAGCCTACAAATGTCTCTGATTCTGGATATTGAAAAAGGGCCCACAGACACACGTACTGTATGACATTACAGACTTCCCGAGAACAAAGACAGCCAATCACTAATGGAGATCTAAGATAACAGTCAAGTACAACACCCTGCGACTCCCAGATCGAAATATCGCGTTAGAAGACGAGATTTCCCAATGCTCTCTTTCAAAAATTGCGCGATACCATGTTCGTTTGAACTTTTCTCAAGGGAGAGACAACCATTCCAACCATTATACAAGCAATATGTTATTAAGAGAGGTAATATGTTCTCTGGCATTAAGTGCATCAAATCAATCGGCGTTAATTTATTTTTCTGTAGGTCTGAAGACAAATTGATGGTATTGACATGAAAACTTCCAAGTCTCAAACGTCGATAATGACTTCATATCAGAGAGAAGCTGGAGAGTGCGCTGAACTGCTATTACCAAGACCAATAATAATAATAATAATAATAATAATAATAATAATAATAATAACAAAGAGCTCCTTTAAACTTTTCAAAAACCTACCAAGACAAGAAGTTGCATTAACAAATAACTATATACATGCGTTATGAACTCGTAATCGTTTTTCGGTTGAGAAGAGCATATGTGAGGTGGGTGATATGGGAAGTATTTCATGTACACTCCTTTTTAGTCACTGTTTACTTGTTTTTTTTTACCTGCAATCTACACTCAAAAGTATATTTCAAAACTGAAATTCACTTAGTCATATTTTCTCATTTATCTTTTAGCATATACTGCTATATTATGTTTTTGTTTTGTAGATTTTGTCATAGACAAATTATATCACTGAATACCTTTGTTGTGCGTTGGTGTAAAGGATAAATTATTCGGTCTTTTCGATGTTTCGAAAATAAAAAGCCCCGTGATTCTTTGATTATCTTTAAATAATACATCTAACGTTATTGAAAACGAAACAAAACAAAAACGAAACTATATAAAAATATACCTGCTTTTATCTTCACTTTCCGACTGATAATTGTTCCCACCAAGTTGCTGGCCATGCATCTGTAGCTGGCGATGTGAACGTCGGCTCTAAACGCGCCATCTTGAAATGGCGGGAAATATAAAGAGTTGTTGTGAAGGATTTCTATAACACCAGGAATGTTGTCAACAAAACTCCCGTCCTCCTTGGCCCATTCTAAAACAGGGGCTGGGCGCCCAAAGGCGGAACAGTCCAAAAGAGTTCCTTTTGTGTTGGCGAAGGCCACTTGGCTATGGGTTGGTTCGTAGATGAAAACCGGTCCTCGTGGTCCACTGTTGGTGACATTGGAAAGGACTGAAATGATGACACAAACATTAAAATATTATTGTTTTTTTTTAATACGTGGAATAATATTGTTTTCACAAAATACATGTAGCTATATTGATTTGGAAATATACGTGATTACATGGGCATCAAAATAACATTAATAACATTAAGGCTAATACAGTAATGGTTTTATAATCGTTAATTGTTCTAATCTCACTAACAGAAAAGTAACGTGCGCATCTATAGAATTAATTCTGAAGCATGCATTTAAAATCCACTGAAAACATTTAATTAAAATACAATTTAGAGTGTTATGATATCATAGAACATAGTTGGCGTATAAAGATATTGTGTATTTCGTGTATTCGTGATGTGTATTTCGATGTCCATATTCACTCGGAGCAATATGTTCGAATCGTTAGGCAGTTGTGGCAGGTGAATATTAACCACTAAATATCGAGAACTAGGAGGTATTTTACTACAGTGTTTATCTCAACTACATGTTTATGTTTCCGTGCACCCAATTGTCATTTATCAATATCTGTCCGACACACCTTATGTGGTTGAACTACATGCACCAAAAGTGGGTGTTCCGTGGAGAAGTACTGTACTGCTGTAGATTGAACCTGCCATTGGAACAAAAGTGTGTGTGTGTGTGTGTGTGTGTGCGCGTGTGTGTGTGTGTGAGAGAGAGAGAGAGAGAGAGAAAGAGAGAAAAAATGAGATTATGTCAGATTTATATATCCACTGCAATATGTCATTCTTTGCAAAATACTATTGCTACTGCATTTTGGCTCATACGCAAGATGCTTAAAAGTACTTTTAACATTGGATGCTCAGGAAATTGTTCTCGCTCTCAAAGTCTGGATAATAGAAAGATATTTTGTCTTGTCCACCCAGATTAGAACCGCGTATTTGCATTGCTTCCCACGCCAACAGTGAAGCTGCATATCGACAGCCTGTACATCAACTGAAGAATAAATTGATGTTTAATTTTATTTAGATAATTCTCCTGCTAGTTTTCGGTTGCCAGAATGCCAATCAAGTGATTCTAGCAAATACAACCCTGTGGCTCCAGCATACTGGAATCCATCTCTGTACTTTGCATGCTATTGCCGTTTCCAATAGAACTTTGACAGGCTTCACAGTCAAAATTTTTGGCCAAAATTTAGTCTCCCTCAGTTCAAGATAAAAAATTTCAGTCCAGTTACTTAATCAAATAAAATATTGATCTAAAGCACAAGTTAAGACTTTCTTGATATCAACTGGGGTAACATTTCCTTCAGTAAGACTACTTCTGATTTAACTCGGTTCAAAGAAGAGTGAAATTTAGCATAGAATTGTCGACCAAATTTCGAGCTAACTTATTTTCAAGAAGCGATCCCTATTTTCTAAACCTTTAGGGCTGGGCAAGCGGAGTGAAGTTAGTGTCATGTACCAGTGTATTGAAACGCAGGGTGTTGCAAAGTGATTTATCACTACACGCTTGAGATGATCCATTGCATCTCAATTCGGTCTTGTTCACATTAACGGTAAATATATATATTTTGTTCTGAATTACGTACGTTTGAATCCTGCTAGTTCTGGAATCGTAGTAGTAAGTGAAGTCAAAACTGTTCAATTTCTGTCCTAGATCTATTTAAACGCCCGTATATAAATGTCGGACGCTAATCAAAATGAAGGGTTCTGACGTCATCAGATAGCCTCCACTCCAGCAGTGAGACGCCCGAGAAAAATTGGGTTTACTTTTCAAGGTGTGCTGCTGCTGGGCTGAAGCACACACTCAGTAGATCGGTTTGGTGCTTGCATACTGTTGTTTGAACCGGTCTTCATACAACTATCGAGCGTGCACATTAAGATAAGATTGGTTTCGTTTTTCTCAGTAATTGACTGCAAACATCTAAAATTGATACCGTTGGCGCCACAAGAATTCTTAGAAAGAACTCCAGAAACTCGACCACTTCCTCTTATGGACAATTAAGAAGGTCTCTGTTTCAGAAAAAAAAAGAAGCCAAGAAAACCTTTCCATGTGAACGGGCCAACTGGCCCCCAATTACACGTTCTAGTGGTCGATTCCTTCCACCGTGAAACAACCCGTTAGGGAATGGATGTCAGTATTGTTTATGTGGGACATAAAGGCCACCGTATAAGTGGATTAAAATGTCATATATCAATGGTACTTAATTTATTAACGGCCTGGTTCTAGGTGTGTTTCTTCCTGCACCGATATTCATTTTGCGGTAAACAGGTGGTAGTGGGGTTTATAATGCAGTGTCTTATGGGAAATTTTCTAATTGAAAATTGAAAGTCGACGTAAAGGGGGGCTTAAAAGAAATACTACTCCTTCGAGGAAGATACATAAACTTATTTGTCCACGCTCGAATAGGGCCAACATACGCATACTGCACACGGCGAATTACTTCCAATTCAATCAGAGACCGTATAGACAATAATGTACAGTCTATTGCAATACACGTTCTATCAGTAGCATATGCCATGATCAATATACCGGAGTCATCTAAGCTGTCTTCTTTAGGTTATTGCAGTATCTTTGGCCCCGTTCACACGTACCATTATTTAGTGTGTTCCTAAGTCGCTCCTGGTTCGTAATTGTACCTGTACGCCTGATTATATTTTGTACAAAAAATTATTTTCAAATATTTTAATGAGTCAAAAAATGAACCCTTGATCATAAATTTTGATTTCTCCCTGATGTAATTTGCTCATCGTCCGCTTTTTAAAGTGTAACAGAATTCGTTAAAACAAGCGCGACACGACAGAGCCACGTAAACTGTTCCCTCACAAAGACCATCGGTTCTTCAAATAATCGGTTGAAATAATCACGCTGATTCTGCTGAATTACACCGGTGGATTTTGCACCGAAACACCTCGTCTCCTTGCACTTGAGGTGTTCTTCAGTTAATTGTCAGTTTACAGAAAACACTATAACGATATGTGAACTCTTAAGTCTTTTAAATCTGAATCCAAAAATTGCCAATTCACGTTTATTGGATTAGAATAGTAGGGTCTATACTCAGTTGTAATATAAAATGTCAATAAGTGCAACGCATTTGCTTACTGAACCAGCCCGATGATTAGAGATTTCAAATTACTCTCTAACTAATTCGATATGAGAAAGTGTTGGCATGATATGTATTGGGTAAACACACACAGTGAAAGACAAGAGTCAAAATAAAGTCCATCAGGGGATCAGAAAATTGCAAGGCCTTGGTTCCTACTGAAGATTCAGAAAAGACATATTCCACTCTTCCAGTACTGCTTTTTTATACTTTTCCTTAAGAGGCCATAACAATATTTCTCACCGTATTGCTACATTTTAACCATGTGCAAAACCATATTCTTTTTTCACTATAAAAGTTGTAAAATTTTTGAATGGCATTCCCACATTTTCTACTTTATCTGAAAAAATTCAAGCCATTTGGCCCACAGAAACCATCCTCAACAGCGACCCCAAACAAAAGTTCCCTTCCATTCATCATTATCCATTTCATTTCGTAACTGCGCGAAATGAAAATAAAATTGCCACATAACGGGTAGATGTTGTTCAAGACTTTTGAAAAAGCTGAACAGAAAGTTCAATAAGTTACACGCGAGTCCCTTGGGTAGAAAATATAGTTAGATCCTGGGTTTGGCCTTAATTTGTTTCCATTTTATCTAATGGGATGCAATTGCTTTCAGGCATATTCAGACTGAAGTAGAATGTAAAACGCAATGACGTCAAAATGTGGATGACGTAACAGAATGGCGATGATGACGTCAGCTATCCAGCAGAAAGTGTGTGCAGGCTTTTAAAAAAATGTACTTCTAGTAGGATAGGTGGTGCATACGGTGAGATGCACAAACCGTTTCTTTCACTTCATGCCTGTGCTACACAACATGCAGCACTGCATATGCTGTACACGCCGTACACTGAATTTTATTCTCTTCCCTAACCGATAGAATAGCCAACTCTTGAATTATTGAACAATTGTAGATAATGATATTCTTGCTTACTAATGGCATGATAGTCATAGCCATTAATCATTATGAATTGTGCTGCATCTCCCTTCAAATTAAAATTACCATCCACTATCAGTGTTTAATCAAATGCAACCAGAAGAGATCACTGACACCCACTAATTACAATAATCCAATTACAATAATTATCGGTTGAATATCGTTGTAGCGGATGCGGGATCAGGAAATTAATAAAATGTGAAAATTCTCATTTCTCTGCAGAATTGCAGAGCTACAAAACAATGATATTTCAATGGTTGAACACTGGCTTCTGTTAGCCATAATTGTCCCCTGATTCATCATATCTATGGTTTACCCCTGGGATTCTTAAAAAGACTAATGGGTCGAAGTACATTTTACCCTTTTCTCAGTTAAGATGCTTTTGATGCTCAGTGTACATTTTCGTACTCAAGAAAAAAAAGGAATCTTCAATGAGACGGTTTGTTAAAACAGGTGCAACCCAATGCAGTTTGCTGTACATGTGCATGTACATGTGCCCGGCTGAGCACGTACATGTACATTCTCCCTTTTGAGATGGGGAGTTGTCTACAAGTTTGTTTTGGAAATGGGGGCTTGGGTGTAACTTATGAATTTGCCATACTAATATGAATGCAAAGAGACATGAAATATTCTAAAAAGTAGCGAAAAAAGTCTCATGTCTAATATTGGGTGTTTTTCTACACTGGTGACTTGACTACACCTTGACTTAACCTACAACTCTTTTCTTGGTATGTTTGCTTCCGGCGTGAGGTGTTGTTTATCAAAGTGATGTAGTTTTAAGATACGGATGAACAAAATATACAGAATTCGTCTCTTTCGATAATTATTTTCCAAATTATTTGCCGGGTTATCAAAATTGTCTTGGGAAATTATATTCCACAAGCAGGAAACACAAGCAGGAGATATCACTTTCAATAACCGAAGTGAAAAGGGTGCATCATATCACTTTGGCTTTATTTTTATATCTTTCGAAGTTTAAATGTTTAAATATGTGATAAGATCACATATTT